GAGAGGAGTTGGAAAACCATATCAGTAACCTTGAATATTTGCTCAGTTTCAAATGTGTAAAGTTAAAATATTGTCATGAAAAGCATTACAGACCACTAACACCATATACATGAAACTGAAACCAAAGCAACACGGAAGTCAGACACAGGTAAACTCATTTTGGAGATACAGAAAAGAGAAAACAAGAAAACAATTTAGAGGTATTTTCCCGAATAGCAACAACAGAATGGTAAAAATATGTTGGAATGTGAAAAAGAAGCAATATGGGTACTCTTTACTACATGTGGAGTATTATTGGTAGGCAATGAGTAGATCAAAAAAGTAATGAGAAAATGGACTATTAAGATGCACCTACATATGAAATTTGAGAAAAGTCCACCATATATTTCTCAAGAAATAGTTGTAACAATAGGTGGAACCCTCTCAGCCATTTTCTTTTTCAGATCAGACCCAAAGCCAAACAATGCACAACCAGGGAACAAGAACAGAATACATATGAAATTTTAAAAAGCTTGATCTGGTACTGAGGAAACAGCAATAAGAAATTAATACTGTCAAAATCTGAAATGGTCACTTGGCAGCCATTAGTGTTGTTTCACCTCAGTCCCAAAATGGGACAAAAACACAACTAGGACATAAGAGGAACCTACATCTGAAATTTGATAATGATCCATTTGTTACTGCTCAAGAAATGGAAAAAGTAAGAAATGTTCTAGCAAATGATGGTGGGCTAAAAGACATGGTTAAGTTGTCTTTTCATTCTTTAGAAGAACTGCAAAAGAGCTAAGTATCTTATTTCTTTCCCACAATGCAAACTTATACTTAATGCAATGCCTCTCATCTAGAGATGAAGCATTGTCTCTACAATATGTATTTTATAAATAGGCTGTCATTTAAATCAAATTTTCAGAGAGTTTTTCTACTGTTACCTTATTTCTAGATTTCCTGTTTTCTGATGGTTTAATATGTTCACCAGTGGTATAACTCATGGCCTTCATTCAAATTAAATTCACTTAAAAATAAAGAATATCATCAGTATTTCTAACTGGATCCATTCAAGGTCTCTGGCCCAAGACATATCATCATCCTTAAATTTACTTACATAAGATCTAATCTATCAAACAGGGCAAAAGAAATCACTGATGGTGCAGAAGTGCTGATTACCTTACTTGTCTTAATAGTGCCTTTAGAGAGTCAGAAGTTGATAGTTTCAGCCCATCAGGGGAAGGATACTTTTCATTACTGCTTTAATCCCTATTACAATCCTAAGTTAGACAAGGGGCTGCTTCTCCAACATGTTAGATACCAACTAAATGATGCTAGTTACGTTGGAAGTGAAGATGAATTCTGTCGAGCACTTTAAGACAAATAATCCTCCATATGTAATATTTAAAGTTCCAAAGGATCATTCTACCAGTTCACTAAACAAGTACAACTTCAGATCAAGGGGACTTACACATGGAGTTTAAGAAAAGTCCTTACTTTAATTCTTGATACTGATAAGGGGAACCTACACACAAATTTTGAGAAAGATCATTCTAGGGGTTTTTTTTCAAGAAAAGTATTAACAAAATGTGATGATAAAAATCTAACAAGGTCATCAGTAGGCAATTTTTGTTTCCTTATTTGCCCTCAATTTACACTTATCTACTGAGACAACAAAGGAAATGTACACACAGATAAAACTTTAAAATATCTATCAAATTTTTCTTCAGAAATATCCACCAATGCTTAAGATGAACTAACATTGTCTAAATCAAAGATGGCTACCTTTTGACCATTTCGTTTTCCTTATCCTTCACATAGTTTCAACTGTACGACTCAGGGCTAATTATAAGATGTCCATCAGAAAGATCCACTACATAAGGCCATAGCAATACGGACTTCACAAAAGAAAATACCTACATGTAAAAAGGAATCATAATCAAAACTCAAAGTAAACAAAACTAGGACAAAAATCAACACAAAACAAGAAAGAAACCAGGACATAGTCATCAAGATTCCCTGTCCATGTTCGTTTGTAAAATATATACATTTGAGTAACATGGAAAACTGGAAAAGATATCAGCCAATCAGGTCACAGTAACCTCATTAAATATGCAAAGAGTTTGCCAATTATCAACCTTGAACAAGGGATTAAGGTAACAAGTCTACCAAGCAAGTCTCATCATAATTCATACTTCAAAATCAAACTTGGGCACAGGATTAAGGTAATAAGTATACCAACCAAGTTTCACCAAACTGTGACCGGTCCTTTAAAAGATATCATCCGGAAAACAGCATATAAGAATGAATAAAGAAACCAGCAAATCAGGTCACAACAGCCTCATTAAATATGTGCGGAATTGACAGTATCCATCCTTACAGATAGAAAGATGGACCGAAGGAACCCATTTGAAGTTTCCCCGCCAACTTTGTTTGTTGGGGGATAAAATGAACAAAAGGAAGGATTTCCACAAAGACTCCTGAAACTCTGAAAGAGTAACAGTTTCAATTAATGACATCTTCCATATAATTCTTCGTCAGTCAAAGCAAGTAACGTCATGTTTCCAGATAAGCAGTTTACCTTCATATGCGGCAAGGATGATTTCAGAGTCTACCATCTGAAAATTTGCATAGTACAAGTCAAGCTGATAAAATACTAGTTGCTTCCTGTACATTTGACTGATGGATTACTGGGGCATTAATTACACTTTTGTTGAATTTGTAGACCATCAAGGTCTAGTAAAGTTGTATAAGCCAGCAAAGGAGGGGTTGTGAGAGCTCAGTCAGTTAGAGAGCTGGCCTACCTAACGTCAGATAAAGAACCAAAGTGTGTGGTTTGACAATTCCTAATGATTGGAGGTGGTGTTTCACAGGGAGCTGAGAAACTGACAGTCAGTGCTGCTGTTTTTGTGTCAGTGAGCAAGGCACTTTACCCTAATTACTCTTGATGGCATGTGACAGGCCACTCATTTAGTGAGGTAGCAACTAGCTACAACAAGGAGACCCTACCTTACATCGACCATGGTTGTTTGGAGTAATAACCAGTAAACAAACATGTGACCAATAACTACCCCTTTTAAATTGGCCCAATAATGAATGGTCCTACAAAATATTGACCTCAGAATTGTTACATTCATAAGCATTACTTTTACACCTTGACAACAATCATTTCTCCTAAACTCATTCAGTAGAGCACAAGTCTATTCAGCCAGAGAGGAGTGCAATAACTCTGTCTTCATAGCAACCCTTTTTTTTATCCTGGCCTTCTCAAGGCAACATGTGTTCCTTAGGAAGCTGACAGAACTGATTGCTGAGTGACAATCTTGTCTTGTGACTGTGTCCTTGTCATGTGTAAGACACTGTACATATTTAGAAAAGAGGCCCAATGGGCCTGCAGCACTCATCTGGTAATATATATATACAAGCCAAATATCATGCTGCAGGCCTTTTAGTTCATGATAAGTAGTTGTTTACATGTTTGACCCCTGTGACCGTGAACATAGGTCAAGTTCATTTCTTTTCGCAAACTTTGTCGAGCTTCATCCTAGGATCATACCTACCAAATATCATGCCTCTAGACCTTTTAATTCATAAGAAGAAGTCATTTCAGGGTTCGAAATTAACTATATACAACTAGCAAAATTCCAGCTAAAATCTGGTAATTGCTAGCTGGAAAATAATGAACTAGCAAAATTTTGCGAGTGGAAATGAACTATACCTAATCACTATTTTTGACGAAACATCTGCCACAAAATGCCTTTCTCTGTCTGCCTTTAAATGAGTAAATAGGTTACAAACGCTAAAGTGACATAGATTATCAATACATTCGGAATTCCTCCAGTTTTTCCCTTGATAGTTATGTGTAAACCGAATAAAAAGTTGTCTTGGAAAACTCTACGATTTCTGTCTGCTCATCATGTGAAACGTGACATATCAGCTATGATAACAAACTTTTTCAAAAGGAAAGCATCTGACAGTGCTTGCAATGACCAAGACAATAGTCAACAGCCAGAGCCTGGCCCTTCTGAAAAAAAATCGTTGAAATCGGAGAGCGTTTCTCCTGACGCTGCTGATATAAAATCACTGCCACAACAACGTGCATATACGGCCATGTTAAAAACGGTGCGGAAATGAGAAAAAGAATTGAATATTATTCTAGGATACAACAAATCATCTAGTAACGATGTTGTTAATACAGTATGGCGCAATGACTGCCGAGAACACGGAAGATAGTTGTCTTGATAATAATTTATTGAAATGATCGTTAATGTGAACATTTTTTTAAATAATATAAATTTGGGTACAGTTACATTTATAAATGGATCTGATCATATGACAGTCAGATTAGATGTAGCTCATACATGAAAAAAAGAAAACTGATAAATTCAAAGTTGTATAGATTTAAAATGTTGATACAGGTAGCAATCAGCCATTCTTATCCAATGTCTTGGATAACTTTTCCAATATCACTCAGTTCCTGAAAAACTCAATATAACAGTAAATAAAAGTCAAACCTATTCACCAAAAAAGTGCTAGTTTGTTCATCATTTTTGCTAGTGGAAATTTTAGGCACTAGCAAACCATTGCTAGTGCCTAAAACAGTTAATTTCGACACCTGCATTTAAAAGTTTTACCAAATCTGGCATCTAAAACCATGAATATAAGTCAAGGTTATTTCTTTCCGTACACTTTTCCAGGCTTCATCCTAGGAACATACCAGCCAAATATCAAAATTTGGTCCATTGGTTATCCAGAAGAAGTTGTTTAAAGGAAACAGTTGACGACTCAGAGGCGATGGACACCGCACCACAACATAAGCTCACTTGGCCCATCGGGCCAGGTAAGCTAAATAAATAGTGTACAACAGGCTTATTAGGTGATGTTGATCGAGATATCCACCAGCTATTACAAGGTGAAAATGTCAAAAAAGACTTGTTTACAAAGCACTGTTCTCTAGGTGATGATCTGACAGTAAACGGGGAGGAGATCCTAACAAAAAATACATATGTTCTTACCTTATAAGGACACTGAGAATCTTCATTACACTTCTCCTTGGTAACTGGGTTGTTGTAAAAGAAGTAAGGAATATGTTCAGTTGGTAGGTTGAGTTTAGTCCAGTTTGCAGAGACAGCCACAATAATAAAGATCAGCAGATTCCAGCCCTGCATCCTTATGAAATAAAAACAAGTGTGTATATATGACTGTTTTAACAAAACTCAATGAATCAGTAAGAGAGAAAAATGCACATGGTATGTTTCATTAATGCTAATGAAATGGTGTTTAGTTAACTGAACTTGCATAAACAAAGTCTTCCATGCCAAATACAGGTCAAAAATATATATATTAAAAAAAACAGTAACAGACTTCAAACTGGATCTAATTAATATTGGATCTACTGTCCAAATAAGGTGATGACAAACTATGAAAATTAAACATAATTCACAATTATTGTGAACCTGAAAAAGGTTAAGGTCATACTTCTTGTAAAAAGTCTTATGATAAGATTATGAATAATAAGATAGAATAAACTGTTAATTATATACCCCTGGTATCAGCAACATTCTGTCCAATTTTATTCACCTGATTGAAAGATTGAGAGCATATTGTTTTTGTGTTGTCTGTTTGTTTGTCTGTTGTCGACTTTTACCTTTGTCCATGACTATTGCACTGTAAGAGGAAGGGCTTTCATGTTTAGTGTGTCTGTTCCTTGTGACAATAACTTTTTGGTGGTACCAAAATTCTTAACTATGTGACATTGACTGTGACCTACATTTGAAAAATTGTGCATGCAATCAGAACATATTACACTAGTACAGTTTTAATTTTGTTACTAACGGGGACATAGCATTTCATAAACACATCTTGTTTGGTCAACATTATCTGCGTTTTTTACCTGAATGCATACAAGTTGCATCAGCTGTCAGACTCATCATCTGAGAAATGTTTTTGTGAATTGATCATCCAAATATAGAAAAAAAAAGAAAAGAAAGATGGCTAAAATCTAAAATAAAATGTACAAGTGATTTTTGTGACTCCGATTTTTGAGCCCTGGACCCATGCTTTTCCCTTGTTTGGGACTCACGTTTGACACCCCTCTTCGTATTGGAACTCCTAGAAAATTTGAAATTGGTGTTCTGGACATGCTTAAAAAATCCTACAGACATTTCTGTAGTACACTCTAATAAAGATCTGTGGAGTTTCAGTCCTTTGGTTGCACTTATATATAGATTACAATCATGCTAAAAGGGACTGTTGAGTAGGATAATTCGACAATACTGACTTGTTGTCAATGACAAAGATGAACTCCAAACTCATGACCATGGATGCTGCAAGCACTCTGACTCAAAACACTTGGAAAACCCAACACTATGTTGCAAAGGGAGATATTTGTTCATAGTAGTAAGCTACTATACCTGAGCTATCACCAGTTTCAAACTCAGGTTCTACTAAAGGGAATCGTCAATGAAGCAAGGACTCTTACCCTTCCTGAACACATGGTTTTATTATCCTTGTACATTTGAAGGGATCTCTGAGTTAGTCCTCCTTTTGTTCATAGCATGCCTTTGTTTCATAAAGAATTAGGATTTGCTGACATGAAAGTATTTTCTTGTTTCATTTCTATAACTCAGTAAAAAAGAGTACTTAATCAATAATATATGATATCTAATATATGATGTTTGGGATCAAACCAAACTATAGTTTGCATTTAATCATGGATATTTTAAGCTTCTGTGTTAGCTTTATACTACAATAAGAAGGAATTATCTTTTTGTAAAAATATTGTGTCTACTGTCTTTTGTGACATTGAGCATCAAGGGGTAATTTCCTTTTAGCTGTTTACGTTAAATCAAACACATGGATGGAATGAGAAGTTCGAAGATCTTGATCATTTCTGGATTTGGAAGATAGTAAAAAACTCGCATGATCATGAATCTAGCATTGTCAGCTTAGCTTTTAATTTCAAGATGACATCAGTAACCGATTCTTTTTTCTGTCATACTCAAGTTGAGTTAAACGATAATTTCATGAATATACTCGCCAATTAAAATCGCTCCTTTGTCCTCTATCAGTTGCCTGATTAACATAAATAACTTCGATGTCTGAGAGATGATCTTCATCTCCCGGTTATCAAAACTTAGCCAACATTCTTTCTCTTTGCCCAAGGGCTAGGGTTTGGTCAAATAACTTTGTTTCTGATTTATTTTAAAATAAACAGCACCCATGTTATCTATATTTATCGCGTGAAATATACCATCGGTGCTATCGCTGATGCATTTAAGTGCACTCTTATCAGAAACTATGAAAAATACCATTTTATCAGCGATAACTTCCTACCTGTACACTCTGCAAGCATGCTTCATTTACCACTTCCTGTTTACTTGCGCAAGGATGGTGCGCAAACGGAGCTATGAAATCTCGCGGTGGCCTCCTCGTGATGTCATCAGTGACCAATCGAATTCACGTTTTTCAGTGCGTCTCGAGGTGTGGGTCACAACCTCTGACCTTTATTCCTTGTCGGCGCACAACCTGGAAGATAAAACTTTAATGATAAATTGATGGTTTCTAATTGTATGGTAAGTAATTAACAATAAGAATTGTTAACTTATATCATTGTTGTCATCGTCTTGAATTCTGAGACGATACGATGTTGTATTTCATGATAAAATATGTCACTGACTTGAATTCTCGACGTTTCCTGTGAGACCGCCATTCTATCATTTTGTAGACATTTGGCTGGTTTACACTGAAAATGCCTTTCTTAAAATAACTTTAGGAGGAATATTTGTCAACGTTGGGTAATCATAATATTTTGTGTGCATTGGGTGGTAAAAGTCTCCTCCAACGTTTTGCAGATGTATCTGTAAACAGGTTTGTTTGGTGTAAACACGACGGACAGAGCTCCACACATGGAACGGGTGCGTGACCTCTGAAGGCTTGTCCCTGTGACACGGTCAAATGCAATACACGGTTACAAACCTCGCCATGGATTAGGCTGCAGTACAGCTTTTTAATGACAAGACTTCAACTCGATTATTTTAATATGTTTATAATGGTGTATTTTACAATTTAGGGAAACTCCAATTTCAATCGATTGTGCGACTGATCAAGAATAAAGGTAGCCACGACCTTTGTCCTTTAGCATATGCACTTGCTAAAGGAAGTAGGTTACCTGCATATTTTATGCAAACGAGATTCAGTCTGGGTTGAAATGTTATTGATTTGAACCCTGCTAAGGGCCACTTGGACTATATATATATGTATGAATCGTTGTAATGCATTTGTATTTAACGTTCAGATTAGCTGACATACAGACAGGTATAAATAAACACGGATTACAATATACAGAATGTTAGGAGAAAAAAATATGTCTGACAGATAGTAGACTGGCTACGTAAAAGTGGTAGCAACAGACATAATCATGGTATGACAAACTAACGATTTCAGTGTATTTCGTACTATGGAGAGAGCATAATGTTGTAGGTAGTAGGCTCTAGCTATCAAAAATAATAATGAACTAATTATGAACTTTATTACTTTAATTTCAGAATTTCCATTACCTATTATCGATATTGTGAAATTCATTTACCAATAATCCATGAATCAAAGTTTAAAATGATTTTCGTCTATATTGTTGGACAAATCATTCATTGTAAAAGCTTTCAAAATATTAATTAATTTAATCAATATGTAGGCCTATACAGTTGAATCAACAAAAAGCAGGTCTATCTGATTGAAACAAAAAATATATAAATTGATCAATAAAAGAAAAAACTGAAAAGACAGTAATGGTATGTGACAAAATTTTAATTCACATTGAAATCCATGAAAAAGGGCAAATAGACCAGAAGAGCAAAATATCAGCTGTAGAGTTTACATAACAACGTGTAAAAGTTTTAAAAGAGTAAGCTTCCTTTGCTTCATCAATGACACAAATACTGTGTAAAAATTGGTTAATTCGAATAAGTAATTATGCATTCTCAAATGACAACAAGGTACACAAAATCAAACAGTTCTAACTGAGGTATCACTACATGTACATGCCAGGTTGTTTAAGGTGTATGTTTTGCTAAAAAAAGTTGATATTTTGTTACTTTGTACAAAATTGTTTTCACTTTGTCATTTAATTCAGCTCAGTGCTTTTAATCATACTGCTTTATGTTCTGACATATGTTTATTTCAAGGGCCTGTTCCCATTATCACGATTTTCGAGCAAGAAGTTGTCCACTGACTAACGAACTTGTACCACAAAGGTTCAAAATTTGCAGGTTGATGAAAATTATGGGGAGTTTTATGGTAATCATACTGATCTCATTGAGAAATGAAGCTGGACATATGTGATGCTCTTTAGTTTGCCTGTTGGTAACATTGTTGTATACCTTGTTCTCATTTGAGAAAGTGACATTACATACTTGAATTGACCAAGGTATCGTTGGTGAAGCAGAAGACGTTTATTCTTCCGGAACATCTGGTCTTATTCTCCTTTACTTTCTCTGGAGCCTCTGTGTAAATTTTTCATGTTGTGTTGCCATGTTTGTAATTTTTTCATGTTTTTATTGAATTTATCCTTATTCTTAACCAATTTTAAATAAAACCAGATAATGAACATGAAGGTTCTCTAAGTAAGCATGAAAATGATTACAACCAAGACCTTATAAAATATAGACAGATACTAACTGTTCAAACTGCCTCTTTTTTCCCAAGTCTTCACCCAAGTGAGATCCTGAAAGTCTGACAACAATTGTACATTAATAAAAGCAATAATCACATAATATTGTGAACTGTAATATACTGATACTACTGAATGCAGGCATCAGTTAAAGGCTTTCTACTGGATATTTGCAAGAAGAAATCCAAGAATTGCAAGCAGAAAAAATAATGACTTGCTTTTTTCAGCATGTGGATTCATCAGGTGCAGACTGTGAGTGCCTGTCTATTCTAAACATTTCATAGAATTAAATTGTTTTGATTTTCAAAGTGTAAATATTGGGACAAAGCAGTTCTTCTCTAATGTTGATATATACTAAACAAAAAAAGAAAGGTAACACTACTTTATTCTGTGATTAATTAATTTTGGAGATGGCTTAATATAAGATTTATAATCTTGTTGCCAGATCCATTTTCAATTTTATAATTTGTGTATGTGTATGTTGTAAATGAAAATCTGAAAATAAAATATTGTTTAAACCAATTAATTAACCCCTTCATAAATCCTTACCAATCATGTACGAATAAAGTAATTGATCAATTCTGATAAAACTGCAGTCATGGTTCATTATAAAACTTTGCGTTCAGTTGATTTTATTCGACTGTAAAGGACGTTGGGGTCAATTTCAAAGGTAACACCATTAGTAATGGGTATGGCCACCGTTTGCGAAGTAAACAGCATTGCAGTGTCGTCGCATGGAACTCGTAAACCAGCAGATAATTCGAGGAGAGATGTTGTTCCATTCAGCGATCAAGGCTTGGGACAGCTCTTGCAAGTTTGACAGCTGATTTTGACGTTCTCTCACGCGTCGCCCAAGAACATCCCAGACATGCTCAATTGGTGACAAATCAGGTGATTTAGATGGCCAATCTAACACCTGTACGTTATTCTGCTGCAAGAAAGTTCTGCTGACGTGACTGGTGTGCGCTGGTGCGTTATCCTGTTGAAAAATGGCATCAACGCCATGGCGTCTTAAGAATGACAGAATCACTGGTCTTAAAATTTCGTCACGATATCGAATGCCAGTGAAATTGCTATTTAACACAACAAGCCTGGTACGAGTCCCCCCACAAATACCACCCCAAGCCATTACACTTCCGCCGCCAAAGAGGTCCCGTTCTGCGTTGCAGCAGTTCGCAAAACATTCCCCTTGTTGCCTCCACACTCTGCACCTTCCGTCACCGTATTGCAGACAAAACCTGGACTCTCTGAAAACAGAACTTTGTTCCATTGTCGTAAGGCCCAACGACGATGAACACAAGTCCAGTTAAGCCGATTATTCAGTGGCATCGCAACAATTGGGTCCAGTGTAGGGATGCCGCGCTTTCAATTGGTTTGCCCTCAACCTGTTGCGGACTGTTGGGGAGACACACGACACCCAAACAATGTCCTTGCAGTCTCTACTGCAGTTATGAAACGATTGTGCAAGTGTATCAATCGTATACGACGGTCATCCCTGGCAGTCGTTTTACGGGGTCGGTCGCTTCAGGGACAATTAGATGTTGACCCAGTTTGGTTTAAACGACTTACCAACTGGCAAATTGTCTTAACACTGCAACTAAAATGCTGTGCAACTCGACGGCGAGGCTTCCCAGTCTGGATCATGCCTACAGCCCTTTCTCTCCGTACTTGTGACAGCCAGGGCATAACGATAAAGTTGATAGATAGCAAGATTCGGTGATTTCTAAGTCGTAAGGATCTAGGAAACAGTTGTCAGTTTGAATGTTTATGAAATTCAAGCGAAGATACAAGTTAGTCGCAGAAAACCTCGTGCAGCTCTTTCGCTAATACAGACTTTCACGCTTGAATGATTTTTGTAACCCCCTTGGATTTTGTAATGTAAACATTACTATTTTCTAATATTGCACAAATGTCATTTTGTTTTCACTCATTTACATGTATTCGATAGGAAACATGTTAACCTTTCTTTTTTTGTTGAGTATATATTGGATGAAGCAAGGTTATACATTATAAATCACAAAACAAAACACATTATTTGAACATGGTGATTTGCGATAATAACAAGTAAAAAGTCATTTTAGCAAGTACAAATTTAAGGCACTTGCTGTTTTCAGCATGTGACAAAAAATGTTAAATTCGAGGCCTGGAATTTAGTGTTTTAAAAATGCATATGATATAAATATTGTACAGCCTGTTTTTAGTGGCCACACTAATATCCAAAGACTGTTATATATCCATGTAGACAATATATTCAGGGTAGAGTCTTAGATTTGCTATTTTTTCATTAAATTTTGCTGTGGTCATGTCAACTTTTTTTGATTGACAGAAGAAAATCTTTTTATTACATGTTTGCCAGTGAAATATAGGAATCTATCAATTTGATAAAAAAGTTGAAATAATACTGCAGTGATGATATCAGAAATCTTATATCCAGTAAAGTTGTAACTTTTGTAGTCTTGTAGCAATGCCTTTTTATTATAGATGGTGGGTTATTCAAATCGCCCTGCGTCCGTGGTCCGTGGTCCGTCCGTCCGTAAACAATTCTTGTTACCGCTATTTCTGGAAAAGTACTGGATGGATCTTTCTCAAATTTCATATGCAGGTTCCCCTTGGTCCCTAGTTGTGCTTTGTACCTTTTTTGAACTGATTCGCATTCAAGATGGCCGACAGGTAGCCATCTTGGATTTTGGAAGTAAAAGTTTGTTACTGCTATTTCTTGGAAAGTACCGCATGGATCTTTCTCAAATTTCATATGTAGTTTCCCCTTAGTCCATAGTTGTGCATTGTACCTTTTTTGGACTGATTCGAATTCAAGATGGCAGACAGGTGGCCATCTTGGATTTTGAATGTAAAAGTTTGTTACTGCTATTTCTTGGAAAGTACTGGATGGATCTTTCTCAAATTTCATATGCAGGTTCCCTTTGGTTCCAAGTTGTGCATTATACCTTTTTGGACTGATCCGAAATCAAGATGGCAGACAGGTGGCCATCTTGGATTTTGAGAGTAAAATCTTGTTACTGCTATATCTGAGGAAGTCCTAGATGGATCCTTCTGATATTTCATAGATATTGGTTTCCCTTGGTCCCTAGTTGTGCATTGTACCTTCTTTGGACTGATTTGAAATCAAGGTGGCCCACAGGCAGCCATCTTGGATGTCGACAGTAATACAGCACAAGCATATTGTCCATTATCCACCTGTAACTGACTGCTATCTAATAATACTTTGGGATCTTTTTCAAATGATATTTGCTAAAAGGTGCTTAATAAAAATATCTTGTGCCATCATTGAGTACATTCAATGAAGACCAGTTCATGAACATTTACAACACCTGTAACAAACAAACAAAAAATAAACAAATCTTCAAGAACTGAAAACAGATCCTCAAATGGTGGGCACCAAGATCCCTCTGGGATCTCTTGTCTATATAGTCACCACATTGATATTTGCCAAATTTCCTGTTAAGACATAAATCAAGACAACGTTGAATAGGTTGGTCTTGAATCAAATAAATCCTTTGTACATTACTGGCTTTCTCAGATTCCACTATTATTTTGAGAACTTTTTAGAATAAATTTCATGTTAGGATCAGCTTTATTACACTTTTTTTTTTTTTTTTTTTTTTTGAAAATTAACTAGTTTCCCTGTAAATACTGTCTCTGTATTTCACTCATATTTATGACAGAAAATATCAATATTTACCACTCATGGTTTACCTTGTGAAAAATATAGATAGTCTGTGAAATATAAGTGATATTAAGCTTGAAACCATTAAATATCCTTTATATATTTTCATGTCCTTGTCAGTTTATGGGGAGAGTCGGCTTATAATAACTGACAGTTTTATCAAAGTTTGTCCTGTCACATCTTTCGTTCATAAGTTCATAATTGTATCATAACATCAAGTTCTACATATTTACATGTATCATATTAATGTGGTCGTCAGTCAAGTTTTAAGGGTCAAAGGTCACATTTTACATCTTCTGCAAATTAATCGATCAATGATACTTATATGCATTGGAGTTGACCTGGGCCTGCATATCTTAGATGTTTTCTGATTTGCTTAAAATCATTTCTATTTTTTTATTAGTTTCTATCAACATAGATCTTGGTGTGTGATGATAAGTGGATTACACCAATTTTTTTACTCAATATACACTTACATCTGAGTATACTGAGATATTTATATGTACATCAAGCATTGACACTTGAGTCATTTTTATAGATAATTACAAAATTGCCTTATGACTATTACAATGATACACAGTTGGTTATCACATGTACTGGTGTGTGTATATAGAGCCTACAGCAGGAAGAGGACTTTTGACCCCGATATATCATATGAGTTCACCTGAGAGGTTACACTTAAAGTCAAGCCTTTGACCTGTGACAAGTGTAGAGTTCATAGGCCTGGCTTGTACCTTTGATCTTAACCTCAATTTAAATAAACCAGATCATAAAGTGAACAGCAATTTCTGGTTACCATTGAATTTTAAGCAATGTTCACAAGTAATATTATATTTTCCAAAGAAACTGAAGGCTCTGATCTGAATGATACATGTTTCTGCAAAGAAACAAAGGTCATTTTGAGAAATACAAAATATCTCTGGAGTTTTCTTAGTTCTAGTTCAGATTATTCTGAAATATTTTCGTTATGCTTTGAGATTGCCATTGATGTATCAATTATTTCTTAATCTTATTAAAAGGATTTTTTTAACTAATGGGGAAAATTATCAATCCTAGATGAAATCAATATTTGTTAGTTCTGATGTTAAAAAGTATCTATATTATGAACAAACAAGGTACCGTAAAAATCCACGTAATGTGCACACCTACATAATGTGGCCAGGTTGGGTTGAAAATGGTAAAAAATGCCTGTACTTGCATAATGTGGGCAACCAAAAATTCAGTCAAAATCGATCTCTGGAAGCCAAAAAATCAATCTCAGAATGTTCATGTCAAACCAAAAAGAGTTTAATATAGGGCAGGAAAAAATGCCTAATGCTTGAGCATTTCTTGTTTTTTTTTTTTTGTTTTTTTTTTGGCATCAAACATGTTGCGCTTTATCATTCAATTACCGTTCCAATTAACCGAGATTTATTTATCTTATGTGCACAAATACTTGTCTCCACACTAGGCTTAACCAACAGTGTTCAGTGTTGAAATCACTGCGCACGTGGATTTTTATGGTACCATGTTATCAAAGATAGGAATTCATAAAATAACTGAATGTTACTGTACACAAAATATTTAGATTAAACTTTGTTTAATTTTACAACATATCTTTGATATCATACACATATACAATATACATATATACAACCCTCTTCCTTGTATACTTGGGTGCTCTTCACCAAAAATGACAGTCATTATGAGATTGAAGTTTGTTAGTGTGAATGACCTTTGAATTATGTGGGGCTGTTATATGGTACTTAATGACATATAATAGAGGGAAGGGAGTTGAATGATAACTCATGTTTCATTGGTTAAATAGTACATGGAAATAAATAAACAAACACTAAAAAGTCTCAGCCATATACATTGTTGGTTAGCTTGCATTGAGCGAGTCAATATGTGAACATTTAAAAACAGTGTAATTTTTATTAGATTTATTTTTTGCCTGTGTATGTTGTTAGCCATGTATAGGTACGGAGAATTATCAGCATTATCACTCGTTATACAAATCTTCCAAAATTCAGAACATGTCTTGGTTTTCAAGGAGTTCCCTTTATTAATGCATTATTAGGGTTACAAAACCTCCAGAAATGGCAAAATTCAGAACATGTCTTGGTTTTCAAGGAGTTCCCTTTATTAATGCATTATTAGGGTTACAAAACCTCCGGAAATGGCAAAATTCAGAACATGTCTTGGTTTTCAAGGAGTTCCCTTTATTAATGCATTATTAGGGTTACAAAACCTCCAGAAACAGCAAAATTCAGAACATGTACTACTTGTTTTTAAGAACTCTCAAATATATAAATGATTTGCATGTACTAGAGTTAAGTACATCTGCTTTTAAAATGCCAGGGGTTGCACTGTCTGTGTTATTTTTTTAACATCATTATTTAATTTGAGTAAATAATGATCTACAGAATATATCACAAACTAATCTTGTGGCACAGAAAGGTGAAAGGCAAGATGAAATAAAGAGATGGTTTATCAAATTAAACTAAGGTGGTAGATATACTTTTGAATGCTTAATACCAATCCATATATATTAGCAGAATACACTTTGTCATTGGACAATATCAGATTGCGAGCAATGCTCAAATTTTTTATTATTGCATTGAATTACTAATGTGTTGTAACGTAACATTTCAAATATGTTATAACTTTTTTTGGAGCTTTCACAATACAGTATTAAAGTTCAGTGTGTAGATAATTGTAGAAAGTGTCCTCCAATGTTTTGCAGTGCACTTGTATTATTCATAAATGTATATATTATAGGTGGGTCAATGACTTCACGTGAAGAAGAGCAGAGCTCAAACGCATCCTATACCACAGCTGGCGCTACGGTTCTGCCAGCGTCTGGCCAGACCATGGCTAACGCTGGACACCTCTTTACCATGGAAGGTGGGGTCTCGGAGAATGTCATCCATGTCATTAATCCAGGACAGCTACCCATGAGTTTGTCCAACATGAATGTGGCCAGCAGCACCGTGGGAACCATCCCCAACTTACAGACCATCACCATCTCTCCAGCAAACTTTCCCATTCCTGTCAGTCTAACACCTACACAGGTGGGTATTGGTCCAGAATGGGGACCATACATTGGTCCCTCAGGTACAGACTATAACCACTTCCCAAGCAAACTTCACTCTAACACCCTTGCAAGTGAATATTGGTAAAGAATGGATAATGTCTGTTTATCCCCAGGGTACAGACTACACCATCTCACAGACAAATTATCTCTCCATCTCTCCTGACCATGTATCATACCTAGTTCTTGGTGGAAAGTTTGATGTACCTTGATTGGCTTAGTAAATTTTACCTTTTCTGTTTCAAAAATAATTATGTAAAATTTTGAAAATTTTTACACTACTTGTACATGCCGCTGATCACGACCTACTAAATCCCAAAAGTTCAACGCCATTTAGGGTAATTTAAAGTCCAAAAAATGTAATTTCCCCCGAATTATTCAATATTGAAGTAAAATCCATGCCCATGTTCTTGTTATTGTCTAAGTAACCTTAGTTGATATATGCTTTCACTACTTTGATTAATCAGATACAGAAAACATTGGTCAGTATTAGATTAGTCTTGCCTAGATCAGTTAGCAAGTTAAATGTTTCCTGGACATAATGGTATTGTGAAAGTTGATGTTCATGTATTTAATATGATCTATCATCATCAATATGATATTGCCAGGTAAAAATGCATTCATTAGTCTGAAACATATATTCAATGCAGGTCTCTTCTGGTGGAGTGGCTAATGGCACACAACAGATGGTGATGACAACTCAAGATCTTGGAGCTAAGCTGAAGGACGGTCTACCCACCCAGGTGGTACAGGTGCCAACAGCTAGTATCACAACCATAGATTGGGCAGCCAAACTCAAAGTAAGGCCCGTTGTTATAGCATCACAACCATAGATTGGCTAGCCAAACTAAGTAAGGCCAGTAGTTATAGTATCACAACCATAGATTAGCTAGCCAAACTCAAAGTAAGGCCAGTTGTTATAGTATCACAACCATAGATTAGGCAGCCAAACTCAAAGTAAGGCCAGTAGTTATAGTAACACAACCATAGATTGAGCAGCCAAACTAAGTAAGGCCAGTAGTTATAGTATCACAACCATAGATTGGCCAGCCAAACTCGAAGTAAGGCCAGTAGTTATAGTATCACAACCATAGATTAGCTAGCCAAACTCAAAGTAAGTCCAGTTGTTATAGTATCACAACCATAGATTGGGCAGCCAAACTCAAAGTAAGGCCAGTTGTTATATCATCACAACCATAGATTAGCTAGCCAAACTCAAAGTAAGGCCAGTTGTTATAGTATCACAACCATAGATTAGGCAGCCAAACTCAAAGTAAGGCCAGTAGTTATAGTATCACAACCATAGATTGGCAAGCCAAACTAAGTAAGGCCAGTAATTATAGTATCACAACCATAGATTGGGCAGCCAAACTAAGTAAGGCCAGTAGTTATAGTATCACAACCATAGATTAGCTAGCCAAACTCAAAGTAAGGCCAGTTGTTATAGCATCACAACCATAGATTGGCTAGCCAAACTAAGTAAGGCCAGTAGTTATAGTATCACAACCATAGATTAGCTAGCCAAACTCAAAGTAAGGCCAGTTGTTATAGTATCACAACCATAGATTGGCCAGCCAAACTCAAAGTAAGGCCAGTAGTTATAGTATCACAACCATAGATTGGCAAGCCAAACTAAGTAAGGCCAGTAGTTATAGTATCACAACCATAGATTGGCCAACCAAACTCAAAGTAAGGCCAGTTGTTATAGTATCACAACCATAGATTGGCCAGCCAAACTCAAAGTAAGGCCAGTTGTTATAGTATCACAACCATAGATTGGGCAGCCAAACTCAAAGTAAGGCCAGTAGTTATAGTATCACAGCCATAGATTGAGCAGCCAAACTAAGTAAGGCCAGTAGTTATAGTATCACAACCATAGATTGGGCAGCCAAACTCAAAGTAAGGCCAGTAGTTATATTATCACAACCATAGATTAGCTAGCCAAACTCAAAGTAAGTCCAGTTGTTATAGTATCACAACCATAGATTGGGCAGCCAAACTCAAAGTAAGGCCAGTTGTTATATTATCACAACCATAGATTTGGCAGCCAAACTAAGTAAGGCCAGTAGTTATAGTATCACAACCATAGATTAGCTAGCCAAACTCTAAGTAAGGCCAGTAGTTATAGTATCACAACCATAGATTGGGCAGCCAAACTCAAAGTAAGGCCAGTTGTTATAGTATCACAACATAGATTAGCTAGCCAAACTCTAAGTAAGGCCAGTAGTTATAGTATCACAACCTTAGATTGGGCAGCCAAACTCTAAGAAAGGCCAGTAGTTATAGTATCACAACCATAGATTAGCTAGCCAAACTAAGTTAGGCCAGTAGTTATAGTATCACGACCATAGATTGGGCAGCCAAACTCAAAGTAAGGCCAGTTGTTATATTATCACAACCATAGATTTGGCAGCCAAACAAAGTAAGGCCAGTAGTTATAGTATCACGACCATAGATTAGCTAGCCAAACTCAAAGTAAGGCCAGTTGTTATAGTATCACAACATAGATTAGCTAGCCAAACTCAAAGTAAGGCCAGTTGTTATAGTATCACAACCATAGATTGGCCAGCCAAACTCAAAGTAAGGCCAGTTATAGTATCACAACCATAGATTTGGCAGTCAAACTCAAAGTAAGGCCAGTTATAGTATCACAACCATAGATTAGGCAGCCAAACTCAAAGTAAGGCCAGTAGTTATAGTATCACAACCATAGATTGGCCAGCCAAACTAAGTAAGGCCAGTAGTTATAGTATCACAACCATAGATTATCTAGCCAAACTCAAAGTAAGGCCAGTTATAGTATCACAACCATAGATTAGGCAGCCAAACTCAAAGTAAGGTCAGTTGTTATAGTATCACAACCATAGATTGGCAGCCAAACTCAAAGTAAGGCCAGTTGTTATAGTATCACGACCATAGATTGGCAGCCAAACTCAAAGTAAGGCCAGTAGTTATAGTATCACAACCATAGATTGGCAAGCCAAACTAAGTAAGGCCAGTAGTTATAGTATCACAACCATAGATTGGCCAGCCAAACTCAAAGTAAGGCCAGTTGTTATAGTATCACAACCATAGATTGGCAGCCAAACTCAAAGTAAGGCCAGTTGTTATAGTATCACAACCATAGATTGGGCAGCCAAACTCAAAGTAAGGTCAGTTGTTATATTATCACAACCATAGATTGGCCAGCCAAACTCAAAGTAAGGCCAGTTATAGTATCACAACCATAGATTGGCCAGCCAAACTCTAAGTAAGGCCAGTTATAGTATCACAACCATAGATTGGCAGCCAAACTCTAAGTAAGGCCAGTTATAGTATCACAACCATAGATTGGCCAGCCAAACTCAAAGTAAGGCCAGTTATAGTATCACAACCATAGATTGGCAGCCAAACTCTAAGTAAGGCCAGTTATAGTATCACAACCATAGATTGGCCAGCCAAACTCAAAGTAAGGCCAGTTATAGTATCACAACCATAGATTGGCCAGCCAAACTCAAAGTAAGGCCAGTTATAGTATCACAACCATAGATTGGCCAGCCAAACTCAAAGTAAGGCCAGTTATAGTATCACAACCATAGATTGGCAGCCAAACTCTAAGTAAGGCCAGTAGTTAAAGTATCACAACCATAGATTGGCAGCCAAACTCAAAGTAAGGCCAGTTGTTATAGTATCACAACCATAGATTGGCAGCCAAACTCAAAGTAAGGCCAGTTGTTATAGTATCACAACCATAGATTGGGCAGCCAAACTCAAAGTAAGGTCAGTTGTTATAGTATCACAACCATAGATTGGCCAGCCAAACTCAAAGTAAGGCCAGTTATAGTATCACAACCATAGATTGGCAGCCAAACTCTAAGTAAGGCCAGTAGTTAAAGTATCACAACCATAGATTGGGCATCCAAACTCTGAGTAAGGCCAGTGGTTATAGTATCATAGCAATAGATTTGACAGCCAAATGTTAAGTAAGGCCAGTTGTTATAGTATCACAACCATAGATTGGCCAGCCAAACTCAAAGTAAGGCCAGTTGTTATAGTATCACAACCATAGATTGGCAGCCAAACTCAAAGTAAGGCCAGTTGTTATAGTATCACAACCATAGATTGGGCAGCCAAACTCAAAGTAAGGTCAGTTGTTATAGTATCACAACCATAGATTGGCCAGCCAAACTCAAAGTAAGGCCAGTTATAGTATCACAACCATAGATTGGCAGCCAAACTCTAAGTAAGGCCAGTAGTTAAAGTATCACAACCATAGATTGGCAGCCAAACTCAAAGTAAGGCCAGTTGTTATAGTATCACAACCATAGATTGGCAGCCAAACTCAAAGTAAGGCCAGTTGTTATAGTATCACAACCATAGATTGGGCATCCAAACTCAAAGTAAGGCCAGTTGTTATAATATCACAACCATAGATTGGGCATCCAAACTCTGAGTAAGGCCAGTGGTTATAGTATCATAGCAATAGATTTGACAGCCAAATGTTAAGTAAGGCCAGTTGTTATAGTATCACAACCATAGATTGGGCAGCGAAACTCTTAAGTAAGGTCACATGTTGACAACCATAGATTGATTTCAGTTACTATGCAGATCACATTCTTTTCTACTTGACTGATTTATTCTTTCATTTGTTGAAATCTGAAAACACAAAAAAAATTAACAATAAATATTTCAAATTGGTCTTGCTGCATTAAGAAAATACACCTTAAAATTCAAAAAAATATTTGAATATTTTTCTGTAAGGATGCAATGAATCTTCGTTTTAATCATACGTGCACCAGAGAAACAAAATTACCATCATAACCACCTAGTCCATTGACCCAGAAAAATGCTTCAATTATAGAATTCCTGATTACATACTTAGTGAGACAGCCTGCATGTTCACAGATTGCACTATTTCTAGTTCAAATGTAATTACATTGTCTGATTAGATGTCTGACTGGTGTCTTGTTTAGAGTTTGTACAGTAAATGTTAAAATTGATTAAAAGGAACTGCAGCACACCCAACGTCTTGAACGATTAAGAGAGGAACAACTCCAGATGAGAGAGAAGATGGTTAACAAAACACCATTTGAACAGAAGACGCAGTTTGAACCATGTGTTGTTTGTGGTGACAAAGCATCAGGTAATCATCTTATTTCATACAGTGCAATTGATTCATACTTCTTCTTAGAGTTTTAAAAAATGCTTATCAGAAAACTGAATGTTTGCTGTTCACAGGAATGTCGTATTGTAACATACCATGGAAAAAAAGAAAATTTATCTCTTTTTTCAAAAAATATTATTGGTATTTCTTTTTGATGTGTGAATACCTTATTTACAAATGTTTTGCGAACAGCTTTACTCAAGGAAAAATGACTGATTACAGTGAAATGCATCTGTTTTGGTATTAGGTCGACATTATGGAGTGATCAGCTGTGAGGGCTGTAAGGGATTCTTTAAAAGAAGTATACGTAAACAGTTAGGGTACGCCTGTCGAGGAAACAAGGACTGTCCAGTGAACAAGCCTCATCGTAATCGCTGTCAATATTGTCGTCTTCAGAAGTGTCTAGCTGTAGGAATGAGATCTGAATGTAAGCAGACATTATCATCAGGAACATTGGGTAGGCATTTACCTCTCAGGCTGTGCACTGTTGCTCTTAGAAATCCAGATATTTTGATAAAGTCAAGCAATGCACTTCAAAAACATCAATATTTAGCATCACGCTTCCCAATTATTTTTGTTCTATTGCTGATTTGATAACAAGTCAAAGCTTACTTTAAACCAAATTTTGGTCAAATTTTATCTAAGTGCAACAACAACTGAAGGGTAAATGGGACTACCATGAATCTGGGCTTTATCATAATGTCCTTGTGTCTGACAAGATTGTTGATTTCATTTCAGACATTCCAAGTCTGGAAAAAAGGATAAGGTTAAAGATCAGAAAAGGGAAAATGGTGACATAAAAATTTGTGTAGATATTTAGTGATCAAGTTTACTCAGATTTTGTTTGACCAACTTTCACATTTTATTTGCAACAGGTTTTCACAGGAATGAATGATAGCTTGTTTGTTAATGATTTATTGATGAAAAATTAAAAAGTAAGTAATACTGCTGAAATAACATGAAAGGAGAATAGCGTGCTTTCAAACAATATCTAAATCAGTATCCTGCGATTATTATGATAAATTTGTCAGTTTTGAATTGGAAAAAAAAGTCTGAAAATATTTAACCAAGTGCTGCACGCTGCTGACATTCTGATGGTCAGGAAGATATATCACAAGTTTTGAATACAGGGAAAAAATATATAATTCAAATCAAAGAGATTATGACTAGTTTCATTTTCATGGGTACTGTCCAAAAACATCATTGTGATAGCTACAATATCTTTGTGGATCCATCACTGCCACTGAAATACAGAATTTTCAATATCAAACCACTTAATGTTCATCATGTTTATGTTCATTATTTTTCCTAGTGAGACGTAATTATTTTCCAAACATTACTAGGTGAATATTAAGACTTTATGCCATAATAAATGGCAAGCCGATCCATGGTGTATTTGTAATTGCACCCAATAGGTTCTTCACTTCTACAGGGTTGATTTGGTTGAGTCTTTACCATAAAAGTTTTTTTTCACAGGTGGTACAGCTCTTGTAGTGGCTTAGTCTGAAGTGCTTGCACAGACTCAATTTGAGAAGGAGTGAAAAAAAAGAAATAGCACCATGTCACATTACTTTGACTATACAATACACAAATCTGACAATGAAATGAAAAAATGATAAGACTGATTATGGAAAAGTCCAAAGACAGAAGTTTTACAATAAATGCAGCTTCTCAAATGTTCTCCAAGCAGAGGGAAAACCATCAATACAGCACTATTTATAAAAATGATCACCTACTTTCTTATATTTATGGGAATAAGCAATAAATTATGCTTACTAGCTTTATCAGTAATAACTTTTCGTAAAAAATCTCTAAAGAATATGTTTTAAAACATTTTTTTCCTTTTTGCTTTCAAATGCCTAGCTTAAAACATTGTTTATTGGTGAAGAATTAGAGTTAATAGGTTTTCTAAAGAGGCCGATGTTTGGAATGAAAACAGCAGCTTCAGGAGCGATTTGGAAAGAATGATTATTATAAGATATTTGAAAAAGAAAAATACACTGGTTTTTATGCCTAAATAATAACGCAATATTTCATTATAAACTTGATCTTGATAATTACATAAATAATTGATAACAAATAATTCCTGCTCTATGATTTGTCCTTTTCTTTTTACAGCTGTACAACAGGAACGGAAACCTCCAGAGAAGGAAAAGATCCCAACGACTGTTGCCACCTCAACTCAAAGGATCTACATCCGGAAAGACCTCAACAGTCCCTCCGCAGCCATCCCCACCTTCTCAGCCAAAGTAAGTTACTCCAAATGTAACAATCCCCACATTCTCTGCCAAATTAGGTCATAGCAAAAGTACTCATCAACAGTGCTTCTGCATAAATTCCCACCTCAGCCAAAGTTGGTCACAATCTCGGCCAAAGAAAGTTAATCATAATTTGTATCTATCACCACTCTCTCAGTCACAGTGGGTTAAATTTAAATGTACAATTCTTGCCTTCTCGGTCAAATAAGGTCACATATTACCTGCTAATGTACAATGTATTTATTTGAAGCTTTTATGTTGAGAAAATGAACTGGATTTGGTATCAAATGATGATAGTAAAAGTGGATTAAACACAGGAGATAAGTTAAATTACTTGGATATTATTTGTTAATGTTTAAAAATGGAAGTAGTTTTACCTTTATTTTGTATTATATTGAATGGAGTATTTAACTGCTTGCAAGGAAAATAATCATTTTTAATGACCTCACAGATCTCAGAAGAGATGACTCCTCGGGCGGCCTCTAACCTCTTGGCTAACTTACAGGAACGTATTGTCCAAACAGATCAAGGATCTTTAGTGCTAAGTGCAAACTCCCCACAAACAACAGCTAACACAGGTAAGTGTACCTCATCTTGTCTATTACTTTCATTTAATGAACATGAAAAATAAAGAATGCTGAATTTTTTCATAAAAATGTTGCTCATAGTGATTTAAATATAATGTTTATTGGGTAAAATCTTCTATGTTAAAATAGTTAGTAGTTACTCTATCCAATACTGATGCTCTATATATAGCTAGCTACTTTCTGTTTTTCACAGATCTGAGTACTCTAGCCAGTGTTGTGACTACACTAGCAAACATGGGTAAAAAGAACCAGGAAGAAGTGGACCTTCAGATTCCTCACCCATTTGAGACATCTACTGTCACAACATCTTCTGTAGCTAAAGCATTTGATACTTTGGCCAAAGCTGTTCAGACACAACAATCTCTCAATTCTAGCCAGGTCAGTACTCACAGTATCAATGGATCAATTTAACATCTGAAAGTCATGTGAATCACCGAAAGGGATACTTATGGAAGTATTTGAAAATATGTCAGAAATGAGATATGAAAATGATTCTTCTTTAAAAAGAAATTTCTATCTATTCTTGAATGTTTCATATTTGAACTTTATTGTTCAGTAAGACTTCTATATTGAAAACACAAAATAGATGTGATGACGTGGCAATGACATTATGATAATACAAGTGTTCTTTTATTTTCTTGTTATTATGCCCCTCCCCCCAGGCGGTTGGAGTTTATTGTAATCGTTATGTCTTTGCATGCAAAGCTTGCGAAAAATGAAACCCTGATAGATTTAGTTGATATTCACAGCATAATGTCAATATACTGACAACTTTAACTTGGTCATCATCCAGGGTTAAAGGTCTCGAATGACCACTTTTAAAATATAATGCCTGTGTACTAGATATCTCATGAACCCCCTGATCTGATTTAGTTCAAATAAAAAAGATAAAAGGGGGAGGGGTGAGGTAGACCCAGCTGACATTATTCTTATATCTTCAATAAGATTAAATCGGTTTACAGAAAAGGCAATATTAATGACAGAGTGAAGAACTATGAATTGTTCAGATAGATTACAATAACGTCCACGGTCACAGGATCAGATATGTTAATACTACAAGATCTACACAAAACTATCCAGTCATAAGTCAAACCATTTGTCTTCTTACAGTTTTATATGACTGATTTAATTAATGACCTTGACCAACTTTTAAGAGAGCAGTGGTAAGATGTTTTGAAATGTTGGAACTGTAAACAATAGCTACTGACCCTAAAAGTAATGGTAAAACACATACTACTTAATCTGTATCCATTATTCATGTGTGTTATGATCTGTTTTTTAAATTGTCATTCTTATCATATATTTTTTAGTTATTGTACATTACAAAGGTATGAGTTATTGTTGGAACAAACCATTAAAACAAATTTACTGCAAACATAGTGTAGATCTACATTTATATTCAGAAAAGCCCATCACAATGTAGATGGATGCATTTCGATTTTTCCAAATAAGTCAGATAAAAACTAATTAATGATTACCAGAGAGTGTTATATTTACTTAAACATGAATACATGCACCTTGTTTTGACTCTGGAATCTTCAATTGTACAGGTATAATCATGAGATTCATAAAAAGAGAAGTTTTCATATCTTATTTTTTCATCAATAAATTCACTCAAATGAGGTTTTGTTTGCCTCTGTATTTTGAGTTTGAGGGGACCATGATAACACTCTGTGCATTAGTTTATTGTCTTTTCATATCATTGTTATATGTTTATTTATAGCTATTTTTGCTGAAATTATGTTATTTGCATGTCTATTTGTTGTTTGTGTGGTGATGTGATGATGATATATGCTGTAAATAGAGACACATCGGTTTAGAATTTCCCTGAATACAAGAGTTTAAGGTGGGCTTTTCGTTCATAAATTGATATAGATTGAAAAGATGACAGATTAAGATTAGGAATTTACACTATATCATTATGTATGACTTTCAATGGAGCATTTGGTAAAATGTGTTGTTAGATCAGAGAAATGTCAGTAAATTTAACAAGGAGCTCTTGGTAGTTTACCCCAGTGCAAAATTTCTTTGATTATATATAGATTTTATAAGGAACTTGGAATCCTTTCCCAATCATATGTTCCTCATTTGGAAGTAGAATTTCAGGGTTAAAAGTTTGTATTAAAAAAATTGTAGGATAGTGAGTAACAATGGTATTAGGTATGTCCTGACATGATTTGACCGAATATTATAACTAGATTTTATTTAAGAAATATATTATTTTATTTCTTATTTATACCCACATACTAATGCTAGGTGTCATTTTGTTTCTTTTCTTTTGTTGAATAATTCTTTTTCATTGTTATACCTTTTCAGATGGATAACTCAGGTTTGTTACATTCATTTCAGATGGATAATTCAGGAATGTGTGACAGTAGTCTAGATCAGTCAGCTCTCAGCATGGACACTTCTGCCTCGGAATACAACCGGGATGCCGTTGTACTAGATATTGATGGTGAGTGCTCTGTTTATATGTACACATATCTTTTAAAGAGGTTTTTTGGATACTTTAAAATGAAAACAAACACCCAGGATTATCTTCTCATTTGATTTAAACTTTTCATTTTTGCCCAGTGATCCATAAACCAAAAAAACATCAGTGTATACACATTATCTGCAATATAATGATTAGCTTACATATTTGAATGTATCAAATGGGTCTTACAAAGAATTCCTGCTATCAACAGGTCCAATTCTAAATGGACAGAATTTCCAGTTCATGCTGACTACTCCTTCTCCAATGCCAGCATACCTTAATGTCCACTATATCTGTGAGAGTGCGTCCAGACTGCTTTTTCTGTCCATGCACTGGACTCGCTCCATTCCAGCTTTCCAGATACTCAGGTGAGAAGGAACACACATGAAATGTTGACTTAAGCAGGCTCAACAAACTGGTTAAGGAAAAAAAAGACAATATAATAGAACTGTGATTAATATCCAGTTAAATGTTATTTTTGTTGTTAAAACTTAATTTCACAAATAATTGTGACAGATTGGTTGAATTAGTTTTTATTCATACTAGACCTTCAAATCATCCTTACACTTTCAACAGTCCAAATATAAGAAATTAGAGGCAGATTTATTCCACCTCATCTTACCATAGCATATGTATATTCTGAAGGTTCTACACATGTACTGCTTGTTATCTTGAGGATCTAAACGATCAACTGTGTTAACCTATTTTATTAGATTTTACCTTTCCTAGGTATGTAATTTTTCAAATGTTGATTTATGCTGACAATGTTTTCTTAGCTATTAATCTTCTTATGTATTTCAGCCAAGATATCCAGACCATACTTGTGAAGTCATGCTGGAGTGAATTGTTCACTCTGGGTCTGGCCCAGTGTGCTAATAATATGTCTCTATCTACCATTCTTATGGCTATACTCAACCATTTACAGACAGCACTACAACAAGGTAGGTCAGATATAGAGTTGTCTCCCTTAGTACATTGTTACAAATTTGGAAAAAATATAGCAAATCATTTGCCCAATTTCTTCATCCAAATGCCCAAATAACCATTTTGACAAAAAAAAAGTATATTTAAGCAGTGTACATGTTGTATCTGTGATACATGTTAGTGTATTGATAAAGCCAATATGATGAAATGTAATTAACACTTTTAAATTATTTAATTCCAGGTCGTTTGGGGTCAAAGCAATTGCTGTTCTTACATGAAGTTCTTGTCTTTTGTAGATAAAAACTCTGCAGAACGTGTGAAGACTGTGATTGACCACATATTGAAGCTGCAGAACTATATTCATTCCATGCACACATTACAGGTGACAGAACAGGAGTATGCCTACCTAAAGGCACTCATGCTCTTCTCTCCAGGTAAGTTGTTAAAGGCATTCAAAGTTTCTATTTCAAATCATGTACTGATTTTGTGCAGTTAATTCTTCAAACAGGTTGTTTTTAAATCAATTTCACAATTTTAAAATAACCTTAAATAGCCAAGGAATTCCATACCCAAAAATGTGACTAATGTTTTAGAACAGTTCACAAATTAATTTTAATTTACAGATTAACAGCACAACATTAACAACAAAAAATATTCATAGATCACGGTGCCTTTCCCTAACTGAAGTGGCATAATTCTCAGACTTAACTGATACTTGTTAATTCAATGTTTAAGGAGCATCTCAGTGAAGTAATATTTTGTCTTTTTATCAAATTCCGCATTAACAGATGTGGTTTAAGTCCATATGGGAAAATGCAGCCAGAATTAGCTGACAAGTAAACTAATAAATAATTTTAAAATAATTGATTATATAGCAAGAAAGTCCCTGTTCATCAACCAACAATATAATTGGACTTAGCAATCTCACCAATGCTCAAAAGGAATTGACTCTACATTCATTACAGAACTTGTTTGCAAATACTGTGTCCTAGGTGAAGCAATGGGGACTAAATCAGTCATTGCATTAGCTGAAAGCCAAGAGTTGTCAAATAATGCTAAAATGATCTAAGGATAAGTAGTCTGTATAACCAATGGAAAGATTTCAAACAGTGAAACAGTTGCTGTAGGAAATAATAAATTGAAGTTGACTAGTAAGTGCATGGTGTAAAGAGGAGAAATTTTGGTGAAATAACTAATGTTTTGAATATGTATACTGAGTAAAGCTATAGCTGGCACAACCTATGTGTAACATTTGTTAGAAAATTATTTTTCACAGCAAACATGTATTTACAGACATTTTCACTGTTGTTAGTGATATTACTTCTGTTGAACAAATGTGACTGTGACAAGTAAGCCTTTAATTATGTTACAACAATTGCAAAACAAGTTTTTTATCTTGTTCTAATCATACTTGGAGGTGCACAAGAGTCTAAATGTGGAGTGTATGGGACCGGGAAAACCCACAAATGACCCCATTACTTTTCATGTCCATTCCAGGAATCAAATCCCAGGTGGTTAGGTGAAAGGCATATGTGTTACCACTGCGCCACCTAACCATCCTACATGTTATTAGCTATTTATTTTGTTGGCCCTGTACTAAGAAGGGTATCTTGAAAAACTTGAGTGGTCAAACTGGACATGTCATATGACTTCAATTAATGGAGGGCGTAAACAGTATGTCCATCGAATTTCTAATGATATTTTTTACCATGTGGCCCCTTTTATGCATTCTTTTCCAAGTTATTTAACATATTGAAGCATCAATCATACTGTATATAACATTAAAACATGAACCTGTTTACTTTCAGACAATCCTTCTTTGACGAACTCCTCACAAATAGAGCGTATCCAAGAACAGGTACAACGAGAGTTGAGTCAACATTTACAGCAGGTTCAGCCAAACAATGTGGACCGCATGGGCAAACTGATGCTACGTCTGCCCCCACTCCATGCCCTCAGTCCTGGCGTCATGGAGGAGCTCTTCTTTGCAGGACTTATTGGTAATGTTCAGATAGACAGTATTATACCATACATCCTGCGAATGGAAACAGCCGAGTACAACTCACAGATGGCTGGCCAGGGGCTCCTCAACAGTACTCTGTCTGCCACTGACACAACATCTTTTGAGGCATCGGCAGCCCATACTGTGTTACTCGGTACACCAGGTGTGTCGACAGAGACCATGGCCTCCTTACAGCATCTGCATATACCAACAACAGCGTGCTGATCCTCAAGGATGTTCTAGACTTGAGAAATAACATGGAGTCACATCTTTACATGTAAAAAGGGCAAGACATGGTTGTAATGTTTGTTGGTTCTGGTAATTATTGACACATGTATCATATTTTCCCAAGATATATTTCTGTTTGATTGAAAAATCTGATACATGCGCAAATATGTTTTGACCTTTTCCTTTCAATGTTATATGTCAAATGTTTTGTTTTACCTTTGTTAGTACACCTGTGTAAGATTTGTCGTATATGTATGTGTACAGTTAAAGATCCTGAGATCTGTGATTTACCTAATGGAAGACTCAAGGGGGAAATTGTTCTGTGCCAATGCTATGTAGCATCGAAATATTTCTCAAATTTCAAGAGTTGTATACCTTCCGTTGAAGTTGATGAGTCCTGAAGCAGTCCATGCTTTTACAGAATTTTGTTTCTTGCTTTTTTTTAATAAAGTAAAATAAAAAACCAAAAACGATCATCAGAGGATAGTGAGCCAAATTGTATTTTACCAAAGCTTATTATGTTAATAATTAGTAATCAGGTTACAACAGATTGTATATGATTTGATAGTTTTTTTCTATAAAAAAAGATGTAACTTAATATTAAATTAGCTTATTAGTGCTATGAAAACCTAGTCAGATTTGTAAGCTATTTGTACTCTAAATGATACCTGGAAATATAGGTCAGCTGTTGCATGTCAACTTATCTGTTGCATGTTTGGATCTGGGCACAGAATAGATTATATATGTAACAGGTGTATTGGCAGACAGTGTTAGTGGATGTGATCGAAGATGGTATATTAAGTAGCTCCCTTGATTTTTGTATCAGCCCCTGAAATTTACATATTACATGGTATTCTTCCCACCTACTTACCTTCCTTGTAACTTCTTCATCCATCAATTCTATATGAACTTACCCACTCATGTCCTCTCCTTATCAAAAGAGATATATTTGTAACCTATTTTGATACCTATATTTGTTTATCTAGTCTATAACTGGTTTCTAGTGTAAATTCCATCATAATATTGCTGTTGATATTTATATGTTTCTCTGTGTTACCTTATATTGTTGCTTCTCCACTCTAGTTACATTTATACTTTTGTCTTGTGTGTGATGTTTTTTTTTTCAAAGGAAGAGAAAAAAAAAAGTTCTCTGTAAATTTAATTTTTACTATTTAAAACAACCAGTAAATGATGTCATTTTTCCTCGCTGATTTCAATTTTACAAAATATCAAGAACTTCTTGAAAAGGGTTGCAAGCCGTTCATTGAAAAAAGTTAAATGATTGACTGTGGTTATGATTATTTCCAGCAGTTAGAATTTAGGAATCAAAATGCTATGAACAGGTTAGATTAATTAATTTTTTTAAATGTGTAACTGCTATTATGAAAATGAAATAATAAAAATCTATTATTGTAGAGTATTTTTTGTATGAAAATACAGCACTATTACACATAATAATATTTATTTTAATTCTAACAATAGAACATACCATGCTGGAATTTAAAATGTTAATTTTAAAGATATGCATTTGCTAGAGATGAATGAGGTACAAAACTCAGCATTTGTTCTATTATGTAAATGGTGGCATTTTCATGTTGCATGATAATGATTTTTTTAAACAGCTATTGGATATACCAACTGTCCATCTAGTTATTTTGATATTTTCCATCTCCTGTCTTGTGTAAGTTATGCTTATAGTTGTATTTCAGTATATATCACTAAATGGTAGGATTAAGACAGTTTGAAAATTGTTGTCCGATAACATGGGATTGTCATCGCTATCATGTTCCATCCAACAGGATATTACTGTGATTTCTGCCAAACTAGCGAGCTGTGGACTCATTTCTCATGTCATTGGTTGCTTATTAGTTTTACATCTAATGTACATAGAGCACACACAGTCTCACTGAAACAAATACTGTTCATTAGCTTGTTGTCCAAGATATCAGGATTTGAAATTAACAAAAAAAAAATCCAAGACAGTGCTGTCCATATTTCTTCATTTTTTTTCTTGTGAGCTAAAGAAATATTTGATGTAAATGTTGTATATATATGTGTATATAAATGATATAAAGTATAAGATTATGTGTAAAATTTGTCTTAAGTGTGTACAGTTCATGGTAGATTGATGTTTTTCTTAGTCCCATCAGTACTGTTTTTTCATCACAAGATTTTGTTTACACTTGTAAAGGTTATGCTATTGAAGACAGATACTATATCAATTGTTGGAAGTATCAAAAACACATATATACACTTGTTGAAATCTCATATAATGAGAGCATTTTTTTTTTTTTTTTTTTTGTACATAGTATTTGATGTTTTATGTTTTCTCACCTGTTAAACAGGTAAAAAGTAGATTAAAGGGAGGTTCTAATTGCATATCTTGTTCAATATAGGTAGTTCATAATCTGCACCATTCATTGCTAAATGTGTAAACTGGTCAAGATTTTGCTCACTAACAGAGGTTATTTTGGACTTTTTAATTTTTTGTTTTGGAGGACAGTTTAGAAGTTGATTTTGTGCATTTTCAGATTTCCATGAGAGAAACAATATCTTATTTTGAAAGAAAACTGAATCTGATAAAAACTAAGCTGTATTAAATGTGAATGAGAGATCTGAGCCTGCTATATAAGGTCACTATAGTTTCTTGAAAGGTTTGTGACCATTTACTATAGATAATATAGGCAGATATTTGTTCTAAAATATGTTTTTAAATTAGTTACTGGTTGATTAGTTTTAGAATGGTGATTTTTAATTAAGTTTCCAAAGTTTTTCTTTTAAATATTCAGACACTTAGAATTACATATAAAAAATGTAAAGATATCTGTAGCAAATTGACAATAATCAACAGTGTAGATTAAAAAAAAACATAACATGACAATGTCATGTCTCACGTTTTCCATTTCATGCATTTTGAAAAAAGTTTTAAAAATGTAAGCATGGTATTCATTGTTCAAAGTATTATTTTCATGTCTCAATTTTGATTGCTGAACTATTGGTAGGCTTTTGTGCTTCAGTCATTTTTGTCTGATGGTGAATTTGCAGCTTGTAGAGTACAATGATACATATTTTTTTTGTGACATTACAACAGTGTGCTGGTCCTGATATATAGAGATAAAAGGATGTGAATTTGGTTGTTACACTTCCTAAACTAATGATGAGAGATATTTGTGCACAGTGGAACGATGTTGGCCTCTTCACTTGTCATAAGATTTCTGCACCTCATTCATAGTACTAAATTGTCTCTATAATTTCTGCAAAGCTTGATGTTTACCATTCTGTAGCAGAAAGAATGATGGTCAAATAAGTACAGTGAAATCTCACAATTAAGACCAATGTTGGGACAGGGAATAAGTGGTCTTTATAATGAGTATGACCAAATAGGTAGACCTCTCTTCAAATCACTTTTTAACAGTCATTAAATCATTATATTGGCTTTAACACACAGTAATTTCAATTTGGAAATCAGTTTGACACATAAACACATGTAACAGAGGTCATTATTTATTTTAATGCCACCTCTAGGATTCGAACCAAAGGCCACTGCCTTACTAAGCTGACACAGAATCAATCAAGCGAGCAGTTCTCTCTAGCAGAGAGGTATATTGTGGCTAGTATGCTAACAGGGTTAATACAACTAATTGACCTAACACCTGGCACCTGAACATGGTGGATTTCACACCAAGTAACAATGTCAGGTTTTAATGTCTGGTCTGTGGTCTGATTAGTGAAGTGAAATTTAATGAAAAACAGATCTTTGGGATTTTAAAAACTGATTTTCGTTTCAAGGTGGCCTTAAACAATATAATGAAATGGTAATGAAACATACAACACAAGGACATATGAAGGATTTTTTGAGACTGTAATGAAATGATCTTAACGAAGTGGTCCTTAATGCAAGGTGGTCTTAAAGGGAGGTAATACAAAATTCGACATTGCATCCAGGTATCTCTAACTTTATAAATAACTTGTAACTGTGTTTAAAAATACCCTTTAGAAGTAGGGATGAGACTTTCATCGTTCCACTGTAGTTTGGTGAAGTATTTGTAGTGGTCATTACTGACAGTGATCATGCTGTTTGTTGAGACATTGTGTATATTTTACATGTTTAACTACATATATGATGTCAAGTGTCTTTCTAAGGTGCTAACCTATAGCTGCTGGCTTTGTTAATATAAAACAAATCTCAATTTTCTTTTTTTGTTTTTTTTTTGTTTTTTGAACCCAAATATATTATAGACAAAGTACACTAAATTTATTTATCTTTTTTTTTTTAACATGAAGAACATTAATTAATACTAACAGGTACTATTATCCTTTGTCTCTGCATTCATTGTTTGATGGAGGTTTTGACGAAGCCAGTATCTGTATACCATGTAAATCACAAGAGTGGTTTGCCTACTATTGACATAAGTAATCAAAATGACTAAAATTAGACAACAAAATACCTTTTTATCTTTGATAAAAGGTCCCTTATTGTTACAATAAGCCATCTTGTAACATATTTATTAATCTGACATAGGAAGGCGATGATTTCACATCACATTACCTGACCAGTACTATGTATAAAATCTTGTCTTTTATTTACTTGTCAAGGTAGACTTTATTCTGCAGTGCATTGCCTAGCCTCCATTTATATCGTAGAATTTTTTTTGTGCTTCACATATACCAAAATAAATCTATCTTGAATATTTTAAAAACTAGGAAATGAGTGCAGTCTTTTTTTGTGATTTTTTATCAGTAGAGATATTCCAAGATCATGTTTGATATGATTTGCTTGCTTATTTTGAATTTTTAAATAACTTTTGTTGCTTGATAATGGTGAACATGCATGCAGATGTAAATGTATCTTTTCTAAATGCATTAGCACATTTCTTCTCAAATTTTTTCATAAAAACATTGTGCACTCGATTAAGTAAAACAAGACATGATCGTTTTATTTTGTCAGAAGTATATTTAAAATTGTATTGGTACTATTGAACTTGTGAAACTCGCATTTGTATAAGCATGAGAACCAAAATGTTATGAAATGTTGGTATCCATGTATTAGGATTGCTTGCCATAGTACATCATGGGAGCTTCAGTTCTATTGTTTTATTTTGTTAGATTATGAATGTCCTGTCATATCCATGCTTGATGAAGTAAAATTCATTTATGTTGAACAGATTCATTGTGCTGTGTTTTATGGCTTTTTTATGTGTATCAGGATTATCTCCCCTTCAATAATGACTTTAAATTAATGAAATTTGACTTCCTACCTTTAACCAATCGGAAATCAAATTGTAACCCATGCTTTACATCCGGTTTTTTTATAATTGTATGGATTTGGAGTCGATAGTTATCGATCCTAAGGCAAAAATGAGGTGTCACATCATCTTATATCTACAAAAAAGTCGCATTGTTTTGTTATTTTCTGGAAAGTAGAAACTTCGAAAAGGTCGGTCTTCAACTCGTGTAAAATAAACTTATTTTGACGATAAGCCGTGGCTTACATTCGTTCAAACAAATCATGACTTATTTTCAAGACTTGCTTATTTTCAATGCGTTTTCAGCTGCAGGCTGAACGCAGCGTATTTTAGGCGATCGTTTATCGTACAGAATTGCATTCAGTTTGAATTAAAGCAATTTTTTTCTGTACAAAGATTTCTGATGAATGTACATGTGAATTTAAAACAATAGCATTTTCATTTCACAACATACTGCTTAATAATTAATATGGTCAAATTAGACGTCAACCTATTTTGTTTTAACTTGAATGAATTATAGTTGTAAGTGACTAATTTTCAAGAGTTAAAGATATTTCAAATTTGGATACAGTGGGCTGACTTAGTCTAGAACATTGCTTTGTGTCTGTTCTAAATTAAGCGCGGAAATGTGCTGAAGTAATTACTTACATTTTAGAATCTTATCAGATGTACCGTTAATGTGGTATATCAACAAAGGATTGAGCACATTGATTGTCATTCGATATTGTGTAGTCATTATTTTCTTATCATAAAACCGAACTATGACAACGGAATTTCTATCTGATCAGAAAATATTGAGACAGCTTGAGTAATTTTAAGGGAAATCAATTAGTTTGTGAAATTTAAACTGATACTTCAGGATGAAATATTATTGTAGGTATGGTGATTCCAAGTTTCCGACAACCTTTCCCAGGAAACCAGATGAATCACGGGAGCACGTAACAACACTTTTTAAAATCTTAAACTATACATAACGCAAACTTCTGATCAATTATCCCAGTATAAGAACAGGTTTGTTTGATTTAAATCTTTAAAATAACTTGTTGGTTATGTACCCTTCGTGGTTACAACAACACCCTCATTCGGCACCTTCATCCAAGTATTTCTGTCTTCTATGTAGCCCCAAAGGCTGCTTTGGGTCCACAGATCTACAAGTCCTCTTACATTTCTTTTTTCAGCTGTTCAATGCTGCTTTTCTGGAATTCCCATCGAGTTGAATATGACAGATACCAGATACCTATTCAATCGTAATGAATTGCATCTTGTAAAAATTTAAAAGAAGGAACAACATAGCGATATTTGATTATATTTATTTGTTTTCCGAATCATTTCCTATTTCGAAAAATGACACATTTGTTGCGATTAACATAAATCTTACATGTAATGCACACGCATGTTAAGATTAACTTCGACTTTCATTTGTAGGCAATGAGTGTTATTATAATAATAGTGTTATAAAAGTAAATATAAGTTCATCTTTATTGTTTGTATCCAGTAAACAGAATCTTCATATCATATAGCCAACATCCTGGTTCGTATGTGATTTATAAGCAGGACTGTGGAGTTACGAGCAACTAGACAAATGTGTCCTGCTAAGGCGCTAGACCAGTACTATTAATATCGATTTTTCCATACCTTTCCCAAGTGTCGACAAGTATATAAAAGCTTGCAATGTGATCGTTAGTATTCCATGCTGTTTCATTTGGTATTTGTTCTCAACAGGGCATGACTTGGTCTGATTTATCTACCACTGACTTCGTTCCACTGCTTCCGAACAGTGATATATCGTAAGTGAGACACAAAATTACATATGATAGTTCTTAATATTTCAGTAGCACTTTCAGAAAGGACCTTGTCTTTTTAAAAACCTACATAAAAACGAAACGAATCACAGTGTGACTTTAATTATCGTACGTCGGGTTAATTACATAAAGATAAAACTGTCTTTTCCTGATCGATATTTTGATTCAACTACATTCAGAAGAAACACTACTCAATTTATATCCATTTCTCTATCATGAAATTAAGTTTGCTTGAAAGGCATTTTGTTATAGCAAGGTTTTGAAGAGTTATTGCCCTTCGTTTTTCATTGTTTAATCGGAAGATTACTTCTCAGTTTTCGATCTCGCCAAAACTACGTTTGCTCTATTATCAAAACATATAACCTTATATATAGAGAGATTTTTATTCAATTATTCATTTTATATAATATACCTAATAATTCGTTTGGGCATATCTTTTTATTGATGGCAAATATCTCTGTATTCCCAGATTTTCTATTATGATGTAGTACAATCATCTCTTTTTGTAATGCAATCCTTTTCTGTCTATCCTACCTTCCTTGACAAGCAAAGATGACTACACTGAATATTTTATTCAACTTCAGAGAAAAGTAGGACCGTACCCAAAACGTGCGGTTTTAACCGCGTGGGCGGTTCTTATGATCCTGACTTTCTTCCGGCATCGTTATGAAATTGTATTTTAAAATGTATCACGTCAGTCCGGTCACGAGGTATTAAATTTGAACCGGATCTGTTGCAGTATTAATCGATTGATATTTTGTTCCGGACTATTGGACACAATACCGGAAGTGCGTCATGAGGTGATAAAATAGCCTTACCACGTGTAGGCTATAACTATTTATGACTGTTGAGATCAGAGTTGCACTTAACGGTATCACGACTGGTGAGAATGTCATTGTTGTACGTATATTTACAAACCAAATACGCTGTGTAAGGCTGTAAACAAAGTTCTTCACGCCTAAGACGTTTCCAGTGATAGTAATATAAGCGTGTACACTCCTCTGACATAACCCATGCTTTTGATATTCGAAATCTGTATTAAATGTGATACTGAGATAATATCAAGGCGTTATAATTTACCACGGGTATATATGTTAAGTGTTAAACTTTATTATTATTATTACATACCTGTAAGGTTTTTCCAGCTCCGAAGATTCATTAATTTTATACATGTACTTCGGAAAGAAATTAATATAAGCTCTTAGCTTGTTTTTCCATCTCATATATATTTGAATAGACTTATTATCAGAGGTGAAATAAAGTCGGCATTTTCTGTGACTAGAAGTTCAAATTTCATTACCAAGACACGCTTGATTAAATACTGGAGTTAATTCGATATTTTTCTAACTATAACTTATTTGAGCCATTTGATGCCTCCTTTGATATTACTCGCGAAAACATTCTAAATCATTTTTATATGAACTAATTTTCTGGTTTCTGTTTTATGCTAGTTACTATTACGAAATCGGAATTGTGTGTAAATTTAATCTTCATGGCACGACATCCGGGATTTCTTTCTAGTATCAAATGTTTTGGCAAGCATCCCAAATAAATGAACGACATGACCTATGTTGTGTCTTACTTACAGTGACTTCAATTAGAAAACATTCGAATATATCTACCTGAAACTATAACAAAAAACTGACTGTCATAATTGATATAAACCAAATGATGTAGTTGTATACATTGACAGATCAGATATGTTATACTAAGCGTGATTTTAGCATATGTCTATTTAATGTTGAAAATACAAATGTTTGTAGTGATTTGTCTTTCTGGTAAGTCATTTTTATACATATAATTATTGTACTTTTATAATTTATGTGCAACTCTATTGAAATATACTTTATGTTATCATAATCATATGCGTTTTAATGATATTTTTCCTGTTTCACGATGTGCGTGGAACGTGTATCATTGCGACAGTTGTTATAATTATCAAACTTAAGAAATGTAAAATTAGGATAAGTAACGTTTATTCATTCAGCGACATTTACTAATTTATAACAGAGGGAACCTGTATCGAGTTTAAAACAAATGTTAATATAAACATACGAATATATTGTTTGTAATTATTGAAGTTTTATGACAAAATTAATACCATAAAACTGATGGTAATTGTTTATTTACATCTTCTACGTCTGATGTGAACGAGAAAAATTAAATGAAATCAAATTAACTGAATTTTTTATCGTCAATGTGTTAAAAAAGTCATATGACGATAAAAGACTACTCTGTGTTACAGCCGGATCTGATATTTCTCTAAATGTCGAAGACTTAAAATTTGCGTACGAGCAGGACAAAAAAAATTAAATGGTCACCTATTAGGCAAACAGACCTTCTTCAAACTGACAATGGATGAAAACAAACAATGAAATTTCATATCACAGAATTATCTGTTTTAGGCGTCATAGTAGGACTGTTTCCTATTTTTTGTCTTTTCTATCACTTTTTTTGTGTTTCGTTGTTGAAGCCAGAACTTCGGCATAGATATAACTTAAACTAGAATATTTTACATGTATATTGTATTTCATATCTTGTGGACATAGCTATAGTAGGGGATTATTTAACCAATTGTGTATTTCAAGACCTATATTCTTATATATTAAAAATAATAATATTAACAATTATATAACTGTTCCAATAAAATTTGTAAATTATCACATTTTAAAAAGTTTCTTGTTTTTATAGAATGAAGTATTTACTATTTAAAACGGTATTTCGTACGTATAATTATGGTAAAAAAAACTTAATGTGGAAGATTGAATGTCCCTCAAATTTTAAAATTTGAAAGGAAAAATTATTTAATCTAAAAGAAGAAAATGCCAGTTTCTTAGTTATTGTACGTTTTGATTCTTTGATCAATCAAAGATGTGTATTGTATATATTTTGGTGGGGCGAAAAAAGAATTCTCTCCTCTAAATTACAACGGGTATTTTTCCTCTCACTTTACGCACCTTTTTAAATGATGTCCCCTGGAAAAGCAAAGGGTTTGCTTTAAGCCATTAGATTTAAAAAAAAAAATGATTCGTCATGATTTTAATATTTGCTTTCAATTAGGTGATTCATACCGTCTTCAAACAAATGAATGCACAACTTAATGCTGACTTCTGGATAGATTTGTAAACATATGGTATATACCTATTCAAATATCTATTGAAATACCACATGTGTGAAATGGAAGCTTTTTGTTTTTGTTAAGGGTTGAATTCTTTTGCGATTCTTTAAATCCTGTGAAATCGATTAAAGTAAAGTCAAAACAAATTGTTATTTGTTTATTGTATTATAATATACAAGATAATTTGAATGATTTTCATGCTTAAATTTCCCATTATCATATTTGACCAGTAAAATATGGCCAGACTTTTCCCATAGACTCATTCATAATTACTGATTAAACATATCGTTAAGAAAATCACAACCACATATGATTCTATGTTTCAAAGAGATCTTAAACACAAACAAATATGACGGGCGTAAAGAATTTAATTTATTCAAATTATTGGTTGTGTGTTGATATCCTTGCTGGGTCAGAAATATCACGTTTTATGTAGAGATGAAAATATAATGAGAATAAATTGAAGCTAACACTGCTGTTAAAACGTCCCCGTACCTGAAGTGTGTAGGTATTTCAATATACACAGCATACGCTATTGAGTACACAAGATATTCAATAAATGGGAAAACCATACTGTGCAGGCACCACTGACTACAGAAAAACGCTGACGTCATCTCTAGTCTTCGGGAATTCCAGATCTATAGTGTTTGTACTGCGTTGCTGTCATGGTAAAATCTTACGGAAAGTTTCTTGGTCCTAACGGAGAGTTATTCTTATGATTGCACAATTTCTCATATAGTATTGAAATACCTGACCGAAGTTTTCTCCGCCGAGATAATCTATATACCATTTTAATTCAATTTTGAAATTGTTTAATTCGACTATTACGTGTCCCTTCTTGTCACAAAAGTGTGTCGCTAGAAGGTGAAGTTCACACCGTACATGTGTGATTTCAACACGCTAACAAACCATCAACTACCACATCACAGGATACACAGAGTTGTAAATAATTTAAAACAAGAAGATCGCCTGTCGAGGCGTTGTCATGCCGTTTAGTTACAGTTACTTATAGCCCTAGTTTCCTCCTATCCCAGCTCAGAGCGACATACATATGAGATTGTCTGTTTAAAAATTGACTATATTTTCATAAATTATAACAATATATAACTACACGTATTTGATGTTCAGCGATCATGGATCATTACCCGAGCACGTCGGGAATAATTTATCGACTTCGATTTATAGATCTGATAGTTTCAGGCTTTTGAAAAAAATAATTTGTCATCGATAACATTTCACATGCGGGACAGAATTAATTATGCATTCTGGACTGAATAGAAAACACAAGATAGTCCTAACTTACCTTTAATAAATAGATATGCCCTATTGCTTTTATTAAGAAACCTCGGTGTTTTGATAAATCATTTCAAATTTATTTGTTGTGTTGATACAGTTATGAAACAGAGTATCAAAATGTTATCAATATTCAGAAGTGTACGATCGTGCACAATAAGATTATCATTATTAATTTTAATGCCAAATACAATGAAAATGAATATCTTTAATATATGTCTAAACTTATCTAGTATAGGTACATAGATCAATTATAAGTCCCTGATCAAGTATATTGCCTTTGTTTTTGATATCATCAATTAGATATATATATATGGAGTTCTCTGAATGTTAATAATATCCAAATATTGTGACAACAGATCGTATTTAGAAGTAGAAGCTCCATTCGTAGACTTATCTAAGTCCTGGTAAGTTGCTATTGTAAACTGTGTATCACCACATCCCTCTCATTGTACGTTCGTTTTATTGCGAAACCTTCTAAGGCAGTATAATGACACAGAGGTGAGTTGTAGCATGGTTTTAATAGAGTTGTAGAAACGCTTCATCAAAGGATTCCTAGCCTGAAACCAATCAATACCTTCTAAATATATACAACACATCCCTTATACATAATTAATGAACTCTTTTAATAAGAACGATTTTGTTAAAGGAAACCATTCTTAACATAAAGCGAGTAATAGTTTGCTCATTATAATCGACCTGTATTTAAAATATGATTATTTGTTTAATCAACCTTGAACTGCACACATTCTGTTGTGCCTTACTTGTAGTACGTACAGATATACGTATATATATACACACACACATACATACATAACGGTATACTACTGTAGGGTAAGGTGTGGGTATATACCCGGTAATATCTATTTATAGTCGCTGTGTGGATATTGATTAACTGAACACATCAAGGCTTTACGCGCATGCCGAACTTGTACACAGGTAAAAACCACGTCAAGTCCTGGCGTGCTTCTTAAATTTATTTATTTATTTATTACCTGAATGAGCTCATGTGCACTCCATTCTCAGGTTTTGTGCGGACGAATGAAGACGGCTTTTTATAGCATTTTACTAACATGGACATATTAGAGGAATACATCGTTGCTAACGAATTGGGTATGGCGTACGTCGCAACAGAAAATGGCGACGAAATAGTGGCTACTAGGGTAAACAATGTCAACGACAAACGAAGGAAACTCATAATACATTTTGATATCAGGAATACAGTGTTGGTTTCGGATTCTGTCACCAATGTTTCGATGGAGCAGGCCCTGAACAGTTTTCTGACGGGTGTTGTGTGGGGACAGGAACCCTCAAAAGGTACGTGGGTTTGGGAGTCCTATGAAACATCTCTAACGCCTCCATCGCCCGGTGCAATAACATATTACAAGCACATGGAAAGAATTCTGGTTAAAACTCCAACAGACAGGAATAAGCTTAGGTTAGTCACCGGAGATTTTACACAGAACATTGGACAGGCATTCCTACCATATTTCTCTTCAACTTTGGACGCGTTGAGGTGGAAACACCCGGTGACCACTGACCATGAAGGAATGACAATGGCTGGAAAAGATGGTAAACCTTATCACTACCTCTTAAAATCTGTGTATAAACTTATTTACCATCTCGTAGAAACAAATCGTGATTTTGCTATTGTTTTCCGTACATATGGGCTTGATGCCCCTAATGTCATTACAAGCCTCGCTAAAGGACTACAAGGAGATCATCCCGAATTTCCAATCAAAGATCTCGGATTGAAAGTAACTTTCCCACCCGGGTTTGTTACTCGGAAAAACGACGATTCATGCGTGTTTCAAACCATAGAGGTTAGGGACGACCAGGACGCTCCGGAAAGATCCGAGGTCACGGAAGAGCGTGCAATTTACAATATGCTTAGTGCAAAGGAGGGCATTTCAGGGTACAAAGACGATTTCATACACTGGCAGGGCAACAACTACAGTCATGAAGCAGCAAAACCGCTGTATGTTGACCCTTATGATGAGAATGTCCATCACATCTTCTTTGACGACAATATCCGAACACTAGAAGATGATAGTATCGTTAATGTCCGGTTGTTTGAAACAAAAGGATGTTCAAAAGCGAAAAGTTTGTCCAAGACGGAAGCTGCAAAATTCGAAAATGTTTGTTTGGTGCAAGCTGACCTTCTAATGGCGATTCAGGATGATAACTATTACGTTAAATCTGTAGAAAAATGCGAAAAAAACTACACAAACTTCGTAAATAGGTACCAAGCAGATGGATGACCGAAGTGTATTTATCAAAGGAATGGACAATTTGGACCAATTACGTAGACACAGGATAATGCTCTCAATCAACAAGGCAATGGCAAAGAGCCGATTTGGACCCACTAACATACGGAAGGCTCTGGTGACATTCGTTTACAAGCAGGAGGGTACGATTTCTGAAAATACCAGACAGGAATTGGAGACCTGGCGCATGGGATGATAATGTTCTATACCGTTAAGAATGTATATCTTGTTACAAACAAAGACACTACTAATTCTTGAGGCACGGGTATGACGACTCAACACGCAAAATCAGGAAAGCAGACTCTCGCTGTTTGTTATTTTTACATTTTACTCAAAGGAGAACTCTTTTATAACAAATTGACCGTTATTCGTAGGCAGTTGTGGAATTTTTGTTATTTTGAAATGAAAACATCTTGACGAAAACCTCTTTCTTATCAAGTGATATAGAAAGGGCTAATGGAAACGATCCATGTGTTTATCGGTAAAGATGTGTTGTGACAACACTGGTGATATTTTGTTTTAGGATTAGAAAAATGTGTGTGGATTATTAAAGACTCCGCCTGTTGTGTACGTTTTGGTTTTGGCTAGGTCACAGACAATCAAAATGAATATATATATACATGCTGCAAGGCCGTGTCAGTACACCTGTGCGATTATGGTAGAGAACAAACAGCATGTACTGTAATTGGCAGTCACATATGCAGCAATGTAACCATTACACCGATTGTCTTGTGTATTCCTTAGAAGGCCGATTTGTAGCGACGTTGGTATTCTCTATCTTGAAACGGGATACCACGATCCCGTTTCATTTTTTTATCATCAGCGTAGCTGTAAAATGATGTATCGACATCTTTAGGAGTGATAAAAGGTTGTAGTAATCTCCACACCATTACAATATATCAGTCAAATGTGCTGGCTTCAGTCGCTGTCTACGAAAATGAACTGTGTTCAGGGATCATGTTTCGTGCTATCTGGTGCAATCCTCATTTGTTTTGCTATTTTGTGATTTTAAAGAAATGTGCATGTATTTTGTATTTTAAATATGGGTCTTTTAGTAAGATGTAATTATGTGTTGATTATGCCATCATTTTAATGAAAGCAATAGATACAATTTGGAAGTCATTAGTCTTATTTCCCGTCAAATCGGGTTAAAACATTTATTTGTCCTTGACCTGAAAACAGAATAATGTATTCTATACCTCATAGTTCAAAAGGTCAAATTATAAATGTGACCTGTTAGTGATCCACTTCAAACATCCATAATGGGTAAAACAGGAACCTGACGAAGTTTTCATTACATGTTGAATCTCTACTCAGAGTTGTCGTTCCTTTCATTGAGTGTCAAACCAACAACTAACCCGATGTATTCTGACGTTCTATCGATTTTCTTATTTCAGTCGGGAATCGATATATAGGTAAATGTAAGAAAACCGATAGAATAATTCAGAATAATTCGGACTTAGGAACTACAAGTTAGATATAATAACTTCGCCTGATCCACTGGGGACGAGAGAACCCAGATTTTCTAGTCTGACATTCATCCAACGAGCTAAATGAACATCTGTGAAAACGAGACATTCCTTGCAAGTATTTCAAGGCTTTGACACCAAATTAGTTTACTAGTTGTTGATAAATGCATTTTCTCGGTTTTATATTTAGAAATCAAGACTCGTTTTTAAAAAATTGAAACTGTATAATGGGAGGTTTTCCTTTTAGCTCTTTAGTATGAACGTTTACATGACGCGGATGACTGTTCACTGCTCAGGATTCTCAACATATTTTGAACTATTAAACACTCATTGTATATTTTTTACAAACCACACTTGTCTTTTATTGTTGTGTTTATATTAATGTATAAAAGTAAAGAATCATGTTTCAGGTCTCCAGACAAAGAAGATAAAATACTTCTATTTATATCAAAATATTCAATTTTGAAAATGAGGTAAAGATATTTTTAATTTTTAAACGTGAACAGGAAAAGGACAATAACTTACGATGGAAATACGGTTCGGAAGCCTGAAACATTTTTATTCTGTTTGACCCTGGCTTTGACGACAGTTCGGGCAAGCCGAACATTTTGCATCTCATTGACCTGTAAAATGTCAAGGCATGCACTATGTTATGCTCAATAAGATACTGTTACTCGGGAATTTCCGTCAGACTGAGAGCTCTTCGTTATCCTTCTCGGAAAAACCTGAATATATCCGGAAAATAAACTTCATGTATATATCCAAATTCAATATCATTTTTTAAATATTGGTAGGCATTATATAAAACAAGCATTCGATAATCTTTAAATTTTAACGCTTGTATGGAAACGGTATACATGAGAATTTAAAATGTGTGTTCCGCAAATTCCGTACATCACGGTTCAATATGTGTGTCGAATCCCCGGCAATACGTGCGAAAGTTATGCTTTACAAGGGTTGTTCAAATCACCAGGATGACCCAAGTTTTGTATTTATTTGTCAATTGTCAATTTCCTTTCACAAGTGAGCATGCATATCACTTCCCATAACCGCGTGACATACTGGACTCCCATTGAGAATTCCGATGGGGACCTGCTCTATAAAGTATATATAAATTACGTTGTATTTTGGTTAGATATTTACCACTGAATTGAACTTTTGAAAACTTCACCATAGATTCTCAGTGAAATGAATGTAAAACTCGCAGAGCAGTAATCACTTGCGAATTCACTATTTAAATATTTGTATAACCGGCCAAACTTCAATTTCGACCATGAGTAAGTCGCCTCAAATGGTAGGCTGTACACTATCGTAGAATATATGAAAGGAGCAATGTCAAAATTTATACCCTAAAACCTAAAGTTAAGATATGTTGTAAACTATTTGTGATATCTTTCGGCTTTATAGGGTTCTTATTAAGATTTAGAATATCTGTATGTCTCGCGTCTAATGGCTTACCAAGAAAGCTTACACAGGATCAATATATATTGAAAATATATGGCGCAGCTAGAACTAGGAAAAACGAGAATACGATTCGTCACGACGAATAGAAATTTGAAAATGTGGGCGTTTCTTGAATAATATGATGGCATTTTATCATAAAGAGAGATTGCATATTGCACAATCGATTTGATCATACATGACGACGGACACTACCTTTAAAATGCGTTATTGACCCACGTTTGTTTGATCCCTGCTGCACATTATGTATTCAGTGTCGATCGATAGTAGAGTGTATCTCTATGGTACGGTTCCCGCTATAAAAGTGACCTAATGGGATGTATCTCTGACATTTACAGATAAGTGATAACTCGGGGTAGACGGGGATCATGACATAGCAATTGATATGTAAATTCCCAACAAATTCTAAGTTTTTTTTTATCTATACTATAAGATATACTGTGAAGAACTAGTAATTAATCATTCATGATGAAAGACGCTGTAAAGTGCTGGTCTACTGGTTTGTTCTTTCGTTGATTTTTTCACTCCTTCAACAGTAGGTGTCATTTTAAGACGGGTCATTCTTGTAGGAGATGGTGCCTATCTCAATGAAAACCTAATAGGAGGCTCGTCGCATGACATCTAAAGCCATTGGGGTAAATGATCTTACCCAACGGCGATACACAAGACAATCCTGATACAAAGGAATCGAAAACCAAAAACCATTGATTGACAGAGCTATGTAGATAAAGTTTGAAAAATTCATCACTTTATCGAGGATTATTATTATCGGCGCAATAGTATGCATAGTAGAGGATATTAACAAGTACTTTATATTCCCAATGATTATCATAGTGTAGCATTTGTCTTTGTATATCAGTCTTATGCGGTTCTCACGTGGCAGAAGTATTTAGTCTCTTTCTGCAATCACTAATGTTTAAATCGATTGAAACTACCCTTCCCTTTTTCTTTAAGGCGTTCCTTTTAAAATATCGCACCATGGTAGCTGTTATATACCTAAGTATTCTATCTATTTTTTTAATCGCTGAGGCATATACTTATGTATGTATAACACACGATTGGCGTCATTCCAAATTCGCAAGTCATGACCTCGGTCAGGTAGATTTAATTTCATTTCGACACAAAAGCAACTTCATGTACTTCTTCACACATGTACATAAAGACGTCACGGTAAGTAACCTGTCGATCTATTCCGAAACTATTGACATTGCCAGCACAAAAGAAAGAACACTACTGCCATCGTTTAATTAAGTGGATCAAAGAACTGCTACAGAAGTTAACAGAAATCTCTAAAGATGGCTTTATAATCATACTCTATTAGAGGTGACTCTCACATGCATTTTCTATATTTATGAACTTTTAACGTCATTGGATGGGGTTAGGGGGGTTAGTGTGGACATATCAATCGTTTCCTGTTTTTCGGGTTTTTTGGGGAAAGCATTGTTCTTCATAGTTCCAGCTCAGATTCCACGAAATATTATGGCAAACAATTATTCAGTTTTCGAAAACAGAAGTAGTAACGACACTTGTCATGAAAATCAAGTTATTTCGATAATTTCATATTATCAAAGTAAAAGCCAGGGCAGTGAACAAGTGATAACATTTAGTATGAACCATCGTAGTACGGTGTATGTATCTAATACTGTTCTATAATCCCGATATTGGCTACCTACAATGTTCATTATGAAAGTCTTCATTAATCGGATTCCTCGATTCCGTTTCAGGAATGAAATATCTATAACATGAAAGATAAGCAATTCGAATAGGTCATCGTAGTTATTGTACCTGGAGGGAGGTATAGAACAACAAAACGTCGATAATATAAACAGATATGAGAGGATATTGATTTTTATAGCACATACACGATGTTATAGACTGGCAACGCTATATATCCATTATAACCTCCATTTCTAGTGTGATGAGCATTATATCAGGTGAACTGATACCAGTGTTTAGAATCGGAAATATTGATTAAATGTTGAGTTCCAAGTCACATAGTATGGTTAGATATAATATAGATTATCTATATGTTGATTTAAGGATGATTGTGGTCCTCTATTGTAGAATCTATCATTCGTAACGGAGAAGTTAGCATTTTAGATACATTGTATAGTAGGAGCCTAGTGACGTGTATGATGACTTAACTGGAATGAGTTTATCTGTGTGGAGTTATCTTTCTTGACAAGTTAAAACTGAGAGCTGGAGAGAAAAACGATCGAGACACAGATTATTGCCGCTGATAAATTCTAATCTTTTAACAAAATTTGCAAAACACATTTGTTTTATAATAAACGCGTGTAGAGAATCCACACCAAGTGATCAACGCTAGTAATTACAGCTAACTGACCACAATAAGTCCTGTAATTGTTTGTCCAGATTGAACGTGCGAGGAGTCTTACTGCGGTAGGAAACTAGACTACCCGAAAAAACATTTTGTGGTCGGGCACATGACCACGTACCTTTTCACAACCGATTGGGTAATATAACCCCGCTCATCTGGGTGTTGCGGAATAGAACGATTCGTTGGTTTGACCGACCAGTCAAAGGTCCATGTCTTTAATTTACGTTACTACATGTACATGTGTTGTTATGGGAAACCCAACAGTAGCATTAGACAGTGTAAGCCAGAATTGTGTATACTATTTTACTTTGATATTTACTAACAGGAGTACCCGAAAACATCATTATGTTCAGGGTCTCTAATCATTTTTGTAATTGTTGCTAACGGTAGAGGGGTCGGCCCCAAGAAGTTTACTGTGTATTTAGTGCACTAGAAGATTTTTTCAAACCAAAAAAAGGAATACCTATGTTATTCCAAAGATGTTAATCTCCACGGCTACACCACATCAAAGATATCACCAGTATTACCATAAATTGTCAGGCAAAATAAGTTGTCGCAAACAGACAGGTGTCAACCAAGCGGGACTTGATACGATTCTCAACCCAGGGACCATATATATATTATACTGACTATAATATATGTATATAGTCAGTGGGTTAGGAATTATTGCCAAATCCCTGCTGCGTGAATCCCACTGAGCTTACTCACGGTGTATCCTGTGCACTGGACGATTTTTTTAAAAATCAATTGGTGGGGTTACTATAGATTAACATTTCATCGTTACAGAACAAAACATAAAAAAATTTGTTTAAAAGTATTGTTTATTAATATCACCAAATCCTGTGGCATGTACATGGAATTTCCATTGATCAATTTTCATAGCTTGGTCATACATCAACATGTTTGTTTTAGCTTGTCATCTGACAGGATCATCATGATATTATTTTCGTATTTTAACATGATAATAATAACATGTAGTGATGCTTTCTTTATACATTTTATAAAAAGAAATATAAGCCCTCAATTTCTTAATCATTCCAATTTGGAATTTTGATGAAACTGTGTTGTTCTATCCCTTGTGTATTGAGGATTGTATTTTGTACACAGTGGTTCTTTCCAATCTGATATTTCATTAGATGATTCTTTTATGCAGCTAAGCATGTATTATTCCATATATTTGAATGAAAATATTTACATTTTTGATAGAAAATGTTTTGATTTCTTTGATTTTACATTGATTTGAGGTTTTTTTTATAATTTTGAGGCAATTAAAATTAAGAATATCACAAATAATCATTATTTATTTGCAATGCTTTTTTATTCTATACATTCAAATAACGTTCGTTACACTGTGTTATGGTATTTTAACCAAAGAGAAACTAATGATATTGCAGGTTTTTTGTCAAGGGAGATAACTCTAATCAAACTTTTAAAAAAGTAGTTGACTGGCCCATAATCAGTAATGCACAATGTCTATTAGTGTTGAATATAGAAAAAAGAATAATAGTATTAACAATAGGAAAAAAAGTTGATGTGTTAGAGTAAATTAAGTAATACATCCAGAGTACTAGCGAAGTTCAGGAACATGCCATGAGAAAACTACTAGGCAATACTAACCAATCGATTTATTTCCTTTTTTAATATCTCTATATTCTTAAAAAGAGTAAGCCATCAGATTTTTGTTCTTAGAAATATCTGCATTTTAAATACACCTTTATTTAATGTTATATTTAATTGTTAGTACTTGGCCCTTGATCATAACGATGCTAAACTGACGGAGCTTCAATAAAAAACTATAGCTATTCAAGTATCAAAACTGAACAGGCTGCAAATTGTGTCACTAGCTTAATTCATACCAACACAGCCTCCATACAATTTTGTCTTATCGAATCAGTTGATGCTATATACAAAAACCTGATAAAGAGATAGGAAATTTAGAAATACAATTGTGTATTGAATCAGTAGAAGTAGATACTGATAAAAATAATCAAAGATTGTGTAACAAGGATTTGATTATCATGATCTTGTTCATCTTCCAAATATCTTTATCTACAGCCAATAAATAAACAATGTATCTGGCCTGTTTGAAGAATATTGATCACGGTACGAGTTGTCCAAGCAAATTTTTATAACAAATTTACAACATGACATAACACAATTTTTGCTTCAACAGATTATTAATGCGTCTTTCAATTTTCTACGTTCACTTTTGTTAGGGTTATTTCCTTGAATGATACTCACATGATTTTACTGTACCCCATATTCCAATTTTTAAAACTTGAAAATCACAACCTAATCTTAGGTGTTCTTGAGAGATAAGCATTTTAAAGACAGGAGTTTTTTAACTTGAAAATCACAACCTAATCTTAGGTGTTCTTGAGAGATAAGCATTTTAAAGACAGGAGTTTTTAAACTTGAAAATCACAACCTAATCTTAGGTGTTCTTGAGAGATAATCATTTTAAAGACAGGAGTTTTTAAACTTGAAAATAACAACCTAATCTTAGGTGTTCTTGAGAGATAATCATTTTAAAGACAGGAGTTTTTAAACTTGAAAATCACAACCTAATCTTAGGTGTTCTTGAGAGATAATCATTTTAAAGACAGGAGTTTTTAAACTTGAAAATCACAACCTAATCTTAGGTGTTCTTGAGAGATAATCATTTTAAAGACAGGAGTTTTTAAACTTGAAAATCACAACCTAATCTTCGGTGCTCCTGATTTGTTTTTTGTTTTTTTAGTTTAAACAATCTTATTGCCAAAAAAGAGACAATGAGATCGGGCACAAGTTAGAACAACATATTTAACGGCATCGCCCGTGTTACATATTTCAACTATTCAACAATATTGGCCCTGCTGGGTAAGACGTTTAGTGAAGTTAGTGCAATTAAAACAAGAAGGCAAATGACGTCGAAACAACTCTAACCTCTGGTATCGATAACTAGGACAATCGGAAAAGAAATGATAGGCGTTTTCACAAGGAGATCCACATATACAGGCAGGGTTATAAACAATGTTAACTCTAAATAGATCATAATTAAGTGAATTACAGTTATACCTTAATTTTGTATGAATAATGTTTAGTTTACGTTCACCATTTCCAAAGTAACAGTGGGAGAAGATGTCATTTAATTTCTTGAGATGGAGTTTTCAAATTTGTCGTAAGTTGTTATAATGAATCTATATTAGTGACTGAAAAAGGCCAATACTGATTTTGCTTGTAGCCGAACTCCCGTCTTAATGTATTGAACTAAAGTACCTATAAATATTTCAATTATTAAACTTTGGTATTGTTATTAAGTAGCTATTGCTAAATGTTAACTGTTGACCATGTAACAATAACACATTTCTTAACTTTTTAAAAATACATTTATGTCTTAAATCGAATTTTCTAAATACATGTACATATCCTTTCTTATATCATTTAACAGCTATTTCCAGTTATATTTTTGAATTACCAGTAGATAATGCGCTCAATTAATTAATTCCCTAAAAAATTAAACCCTGTAAATTAAATAAACTCTTCTTACGATTGGCTTTTATTCACATACCTCCTTTCCAATTCCTTTGATACCAGGAAAAGGAACAGCGTAAGTGTTAATTAAGGCTCGGTTGGTGGAACTATCGCGCGAATGGTCAGAGACCCGGGTTCGATTACGATTTCTCTGTGTTTTATGATTATATATCGAAAAATTAACTGACTTTGCAGTGCAAGCTTAGCAGCATCGGTAACCGTTATATGTAATAAGGGAAGTAACTCTTTCTCCATACCTTTACATTTCAAACCGAGACGCATGCTATTTGTGTCTCTGGTTCAAGATAGCTATTTCAAGCTATTTCAAATTTTCAATTTGTTTCACATGACAATGGTCTAAATAAGATTTGGAATGTAACGTATGATAAAATATAAAGTTTTTCATGAATTCTTAATATTTCATCAAACTGCACATTCCACATCTTTTTACCATTTCGTAAATTTACTCAGTGTGAGCACTTGCATGGTACGTCATCAATGTTAGATGTTGGCAAAATTGACGTGGCAAAAGTGACATAGAATCCACGTTTCTGACAACGACGCCTGTTAGCTGGCAAGAAAAGAAGATACCATTGTTTATCTAACCGCCTGTGACAATTTCTTGGACGTTTTGAAGACTTTGTTGATAACGCCATGGGTTTAACGATAAGCAGTTTATTCTCCAGATTGTTTGGGAGTAAACAAATGCGAATCCTCATGGGTATGTATTTTAACCTAAAATCCATCGTGTTGACTCAGTCAAGACCTGTCAGTGTCACGTTATTCATTATCTTATTGGCATCCCTCCCCCCACTTCCTACCCCATTCCCGAAATCCATCGGCCCCCTTATCCTATATACAATCAGAATTATGACCTTGTCCGAATATTCTGGATCAGTTAGGCCTATATACCTGGCTGATTACTGGGAGAATACTTGATGCAGTACATTGTCCATATACAGTAATGGCCTAATGGAATGAAATAACGGTACTGTTAACGGTTTCAGTCGGCCTATTTATTTCCCCCTTTTTATCAGCTGAAGAACAAATTTGACAAACGAGTTACATGTTTAAATAAGCAATAGGAAACCTCCCACTCCTAGATTTACTACTATTTATAGAACTTGAGTCGTATTGTAATAGGAAGTTGAAATATCTTGTTCACAATGGGGCAAGGTCAATAACGTTATATAGTGTAATAACTTTGAAGTTGGGTGTTGCTCCTTCAGAATCCTCAAAAGGAGCATATTTCGGTCTGTGATTGGTCAGTTCTTTTCTCCTTGAATCAATCAAATTACTTTGATATGCCTTCAATTTTGCTATGACATGTTCCAGGGGTGCAGAGCGCAAAAGTGATTGTAACCCCTGGAGTATTGAGGATGAGACAATGTCAGAAAATTGACCAATAGGCCAAGATCTAAAGCGTATGAAAGTTTTGAATAACCATGTACTTAGAATAGAATATTCAGACCAACACTAGATAAATATTGTTTAATGAAAACTTCCAGTATTTGAACTATCCAATGCAAGCTGGCCAACTCTGGACCAACTTAATTTATGGAGCCCATATGATTCATGGATATTCATATCAAATGAAATTGGCAAGATGGTCTCTAGATACTAATATAAGATGATGGTATTGACAAAAGTTATTCTCATACCAGTTTGGTGATTTTTTTTGCTACTCTTTGCCCTATTTTAAATTTAGCTGTTAGCAAAAAAAAAATGCTTCAAATTTTTGATTTCATACATTCATTTGAACCAATCTTTGCCTGTCTGCCTTTTACTGCTTTAGCTCAAAAAGGAAAAAACAATGAGAGGAAACCCCCAGCTTTTCATATCATAGAAAGGATTAATGGTAACTTTTAAGGCTATGCTAGAATTACTGGTACTCTAGCTCAACATTTTTATAGTACTTGTATTTATCATTTTTTGCTTCTAATAGTTGGTTTGGATGCTGCTGGGAAAACTACAATCCTGTATAAATTGAAACTTGGAGAAATTGTAACAACAATTCCAACAATTGGTAAGTGTATGTTGTGTGCTTCACAATATGACATCAAAAATAATTTCTACACATTTGTTATTGTGGTATTGTGGTATTGTTAGTTTAAAGAAATAGTAATAAGCAAGTATTATGGAAACAAAATCTCAACTACATAATCAGGTACATTTATCTAAATGAGTTTGACATTCTTTCATTCCAATCATAGTTAAGGTGATCAGGCTCTCTTGAAATTAGCAATCAAGCGTGGTGTTCACCAAACTCCATGTAATCATATCTTCATCTTTTATATCTGATATTAACAGGGAAAACTCCTCAGTTGTGTAGATGGAGATTTTGATTATATGATCAATTATCTCACTTTGATGAAGAATTAAGAAAATCAACAAAGTGACAAATATTAGATCAAGTATTTCTATTAGTTTAGTTAGGAATATTTGATTTACACTCTACTGTCTGATTGCATTGAAACATTGTTAAGATAACAACTAACTGAACATTATTGTCAACTATAGCAGAACAAAATGAAGTCCTGTTTTCACAGAATCCAAGAACTAATAGTAGTTAGGAAAAAATATGAAGTAAGGGAAAATCTGCTGTAATGGTGTTTTGTTAATGTAATTACATCTATGTTATTAACTTTTCAGGTTTTAATGTAGAGACAGTAGAATATAAAAACATCAGCTTCACCGTGTGGGATGTTGGCGGCCAAGACAAAATCCGGCCACTGTGGAGACATTACTTCCAGAACACACAGGTAAAAAAATCAACAACAAAAATATATGTATTGTTCAAAGGACTGATGTGTCTGACAGTTTTTGTTTGTTTTTTGACAAATATAGAATGTGTATGAGATCTGAAAATTTTTGACTATACCAAGAAAACATTGATAAATTGACCCTTAAGAGTATCAAGAAAAATCTTTAGAAATATATCAGTAATCATGGTTTAACACTGACACTGTGGGTACATTTGTATATGTTTGAAAAATTCAAGAAAAGAGACTACCTGGTAAATTAAAGTAAACTATCTGTGGTAATTCTTACTTTATTGATGTTGTTTTCAGGGATTGATATTTGTTGTGGACAGTAATGATAGAGAGCGAATAGATGAAGCCAAAGAAGAACTCAATAAAATGGTAAGTTGTAATTTTCATTATACTGCAACTTCCCCTAACTATTTTTTCTGAGAACTGATTACCTCTATATCGAATGAAATGGTGAAATGGACGTACAGAATTGTTTTTTCATTATAGAACTTTCATCCCTTTGATTTCCCTATACCAATTTGTTTTTGAGTGCCAATAGGTTAAAATTCTTGAAAACTGATGTATCTTACCTTTTTCTATGTATTTCAGGCGAAACATTATATGACCGACTTTCTGTACATTTTATTGTGTAGACATGTTGTATTTACTAGTCCATTTTTCTGATAGACAAGATCTCTTAAAAAAAATTCAGTTCCTACTTTATGATCGTTAGTGGTTTTTTCTACTTGAAGTATTTTTTTCCACCTTAGATTTGGGGACACAATTTCTATTTTATCTTCATTTTGTCAAAAAAAAGGCATATGAACTTGCTGTTGATTGAAACTGTTTTTGACAGATATAACATAAAAATTGTATCATTTCAATGCTTATTAATCCAAAACCCTATCAATCCATTCTTTCACAGCTAAATGAAGATGAGCTAAGAGATGCTATGCTCTTGGTATTTGCCAACAAACAAGATCTTCCTAATGCACTGAGTGTTGGTGAAATTACAGAAAGACTGGGTTTAAATCAGAAGAGAGGAAAGCCTGTAAGTATTTCAGATTAAACAATATGTTACTTAGATGGAGGAATTTTGATGTTTGTTACTATGAAAAGCCTATCCATGTGCAATTTTTCTGAAAAATGACTTCTTTAGTATTGAAATAAAAAGCGTTCAGCTATAAATTTCAGTGTCTTATTATATTGTCCTACAGAAAATGGTACCTGACAAATTTCTTTTGTTGTACCAGTAGTTGGATAAAAATAGGTATAGCTTTATTTGCTCTGAATATTTTCATTGTGGAAATCAGATTGTATTGCAGTAAGAAGACATAGTAGCAATGTTCTTACAGAAACTTAATTATTTATCTATATTTTAGACAAGAACTACTTTAGTAAATATATGCTTTAGATAACTTAGATGAGATGGTATGGTCATCCCCAGTCTTGCCATCAGATCGAAACTTTTCAATAGATAGGTGATATGTTTTCAAATGGTAGATAGTTTTGACAATATTCTTTTCATTTGTAATATTTCTTGTTTTTTAGTGGTTTGTACAGACAGCATGTGCTACTGCAGGAACTGGATTGTATGAAGGTTTGGATTGGTTATCAAACGAACTCACCAAGTGATGCGTTTTTCCACAACATTTTTAAAACAGCTCCTCTCAATGCAAGGTCTTCGTCATCAAAATATAACTCGGGAGAACTCATTTGAACCAGAATTATACTAAGGAAGTTCTAGTCAAGTTCAAAACAGATATCAGAATGTCTGTCAAACAATGCGATTGCGATCAATGTACCCACACCGAAAGTGAAGTCACACTCGGTGTGTGTTTTAAGTGGAACCATTACAGAAATTACAACCAACAAACTCTTTTAACTGCCAGTACTTTGTTGACGGGACTTTGCCTAAATAATATTTCCAGACTTGGTAGCAATATGTAAGATTTTTGCTTTTTATTGAAGTGGAAAAATTTAGAATGTGTTAGTATAAAAAGTGAGTTTTATGACGATTGACATTGGAAATGTATCGGTGCCATGAGGATTTCTTTTTTTAATTGGATTATCTCCCTTTAGGCATGTTGGGCTGTGATCTTTCTGAAATCCTCAAAGCAACTTGTATACACTGTAGGTGAAAATTGTTTCAGTTTAGGTGTATATTGATTCAGTATTGGGGGGAGGGGGGCAATAAGGGGTACCATAAGGATATTTATAGATTGGAAAGGTTCTCACCAATAATCAGTACAGGAAAAAGAGAGTGCTGTGGATAAAAACAAATATATTGTAAATATTCATAACAAAATTTTATATATACACATCATCAATGCTTATATCATACATTACTTTGGTAGTCTCCAATTAGTAAGCATGTCATTGAGACTGAATATTCTTTCTGTACTTTATGTCGCTTAAATTTCTCAAACCATATAACCATATGATGGTTGACTGTTGAAAAGAATTGTTAATTGAATGTAATCCATTATAGGCAGGTACAGAATCAGATTTAAGTTTATACACTTTTGATGATTTAGTGGGAAGGAGGAGATGTCACCAGATTCATGTTTCACTGTTTCTGATAGTATGCTGCTAGGTTCTTGTCTGAAGGCAATGGGAATAGTCCAAATGTTCATTTTAGAAAATGAGAATGGAGCTTACTTGCATTTATTGAATTGGAAGTATTTGAACAGATGCTATTTACACTGTAGTTGTGGAAGGACTTTCCAGATCATGTGTATTTGACATCAGTTAACAATAACAATATAGCTAGGATGAAAGGATTTGGATTTGGAAGCAGTTGTATAAATGTATTTAAAATATGTGAAAAAGGGCGTATATATGAATATGAGAGACTGAAAGCTGCAGGCTTCCATTCTACGATGTATACAAACCAGAAAAATCTGTTCAGAATTTTGAATTGTGAATAACTTTGTTTCTCATGCTCTTATTCTTTTTAATTGTATATTGTGTCTATGTGTAGGGTTTGAGTGATATTGTGGTATGAGGGGGTGGGGGATAACTAAACAGTAGGACTGTGTTATGCTTTAACTCTTGTAGAGTCAAAGTTGTTTTTTGTTCCTGGAACAAAGTTTGAGGGTGTAAAATTTCTCTAACACTTATAAAGTAACTGAGTGGTCTTTCATTTTTTATCAGAAAGTTAATGGAGCTTTTGGTTCACAATTTTTGTCAGATTCCCTGAAATAATGTGCTGTTTGTTATCACTTAATGCCAAAAGGAGGCATCAGTCCTTGTATGAAATTCCTGTAGCAGGGAAGCCTAAAAAGTAGCCACTTCCCAGCAAAAGTGACCAGATTTAAAGACTCAGAATTACAGACATTTCTGTTAAAAAAAAGAGGCTAGCTGGGTAGTGGGACAAGAAATTGTGACAATATAAGCTAGACTCATTATTGTTTTTCTTGTTGTAGGTTGATTGGATGTTACAATATTGGGTACTTATCTCCTTGTTTTAAAGTAGTAATGTATTCAATGAATGCTGATTTTTGTGACAGTGTTTTATTTCATGTAGTGGCTACTTAATTTTACTTTGGACAGAGTCCTGCACAAAATTCCAATAAATTATGTTATGTCTATTTAAGACCAATTTATGAATTCGGAAATTAAAAGTAAAATATATGTACATATGTGTATGTATGTATGTATGTATGTATGTATGTATGTATATGTGATATAAACCAGAACAGTTTAAAATTTGTTTACAGTGAAGATAGGAAATTATTAGAGAAGGAAGACTTTGAGGGATAAAATGGTTGTACTAGTATTTCAAAGTTGGATCTATTCATCAATGTGAAATCTGTACAGGTAGTGATTCATGAATAAAAGTGTGAATGGACTTAACATTTTTTGTTTTAATCCTACACCCAGGGAAAACCGACAAAACTTTGAAGTACACTATTATTAAAAAAATATTAGGACAAGGTTGGATTATTCCCTTTTTCTTTCTTCTTTTTTTCTTATTTCTTCACAGCAATGATGAAATAAAACTTTAAAAATCCAAGAAAGATACCTTTAGACCCTTTTGAATTTCTGATCAGTCTCAGAACTCTTGGGAAAGTTGAACGCACATAGAAAATTGAAGAAATGTCCACCAGTTCTTCACCAAGCAGTTTTTTTTTGCAAAAACAAACTTTAATTTTCAAAATCCATGAAGGCTGTTTATTGGTTATTAGCTCTTTAGGCATAAAGGGCCAAACTAGTTAGCTTATGACATAGTTCCGTTTGTCCTTCCATCACCTTTTCCCCTAAAAATCGCTATGTTTGGGGAAGAGGTACATTTTTTAGGTCATCTGACCGTTAAGGCCCATGGGCCTCTTGTTTTATTATAAATGGTGGGTCTCTGTCACTAGAGGCCTGAGAAGCGGGACTAAAAAGTGAACATTTTAAAATCTACTTCTGTAGGAATGATCTAATTCTGTCAAAATTAGGTCTTGAGCATTCTCGGGCGAAGGAGAGTTAATTTTGTATAAACTGCTTGCTGCGGCAGGAGGTACAAAAGTAGTCATAAGCCCAATAGAGGAAATAGAGCAAATTCTTGGAAATCCTACTCCTTCCGTAGGAATGATTGAATTTTGATCATATTTGGTCTGAAGCATTCTTGGACGAAGAGGAATTAATCAATTTTGCCAATTAAGCGCTATATGCCATATAGGCTCTTGTGATTTTGTTTTATTTTTCGGTAATTTTTCCTAATTGGATGGGTATCTGCGTAGGAAAGAAGAGTTCATTATTATTTGTCTATAGATAGCTACACCAACCTTTTGTCAGAAATCGATGATGGCCACCTTTCAGCTATGATCTGTCACAAATTTGAAAAAGGCGTCACTGATCATGGGGAACTCGCATACGGAATTTGAAAATGGTGCTTATAAGGAAATGGTATCAAAAGCCCAGGGCACTGATTTTGGACTTGGAGCATGCTGGAATTCAAGATCACAGCAATAAAAATATGTTAAAATCTTCAAAATACTTCTTTTCGATAATAATGCTTCGGAAATGGACTTAATAGTTTGCATAAATTGGCTTTATTTGACAAAGATACAAGTTAGTCTCACAATCAAAAGGGTACCGTTTGGAACCATGGGTAAGTACATATAATGTTTGAGAAATGTTCCAGTATTTCCACTATTAAGGATTAGCAATACTGAACGTATTTTGTTAAAATCGAAGATGGATACCTGTCAGCCATTTGGTTTTTCTCAACAGTCTCGGTATCGAAAAGACACCACTAGAGACTAAGGGGAGCCTACAAGTACTTCCACAATTAGAATCGATGATAAACGTCTTCTGTCAAAATTCAAGATGGTCATACGGCTTTTATGACCAGTTTCTAAATATAAAGGACAATTCTTGGGACGAAATGGAGCCTACTTACGAAATGTGAGGTTGATTAACTAGGTACTTTCCATGATAAGCGATAACAAGAGTTTTTAAGGCAGTCGGACGGACCATTTATGAGGGATATTTGAACAGCTGATGGCCCCAGCAAACAGGAAAGGATGAGATGAAAGGTCATGGACGAGGAAAACTATTTTAGGTTAAAATGCCAAAACTATAGATGACTTTAAATGTTTTGTATCAACATCAATACTAATTAATTTTTTAATGAAGTTTTAACTAATTCTAAGACAAGTTGAAGACATATCAAAGTGCAATTTAGTCGTTGACAACACTCTGTCATGCCAGTTTTTACAAATCTTAACGATTAATGCTTTACATATCATTAGTCTTGATAAGACTTTAAACAACAATATGTCCGACATCACTTCCGGTGACGTAGAATGATAGAATGCTCCAATCCTTATGAGAGAAAAATCTGAATTGGATCAAATTTTATTTATATGTATCTTACATACATGGGAATAGCTTGGGGCGGGGGCTTCTTATGATTTAACAATAGATTATGCCTTCAAGTGTACATGACATCCAAGTTTAATCTAATTCATAATTAATGGATCTATATCAGAAATGAACGACAATTCATATCGCTAACCGCTGAAACAACCAGATACTTAGACAGGGTTGATCAAAATAGTTCTCTGAAACATGTTCCACGAACACTAAAACATGTTCCGCGTACACTTTACACTGTTTTGTTGTTTTCTTCTCACAATCATAAAGGAATAATGATGAGCATAGCTGTAGAGTGGCTTAGTGTGTTAAAATAACCTGTTATGATTACAAAAAATAATTATAACACGAAATTAATGTTTAGGGTAGCGTGAGGCTCGACATGAACGGAACTCGTCAGAATAATTAATGAATGCATTTCCTTGTGTGGTATGAGGTTCGACATGTTCGATGTGGTGTGAGGTTCCACATGTTCGATGTGGTGTCAGGTACCACATGATCGATGTGGTGTGGGGTTCCACATGTTCGCTGTGGTGTGGGGTTCCACATGTTCGATGTGGTGTGAGGTTCCAAATGTTCGATGTGGTGATAGGTTCCAAATGTTAGATGTGGTGCGAGGTTCCACATGTTCGATGTGGTGTGGGGTTCCACATGTTCGCTGTGGTGTGGGGTTCCACATGTTCGATGTGGTGTGAGGTTCCAAATGTTCGATGTGGTGATAGGTTCCGAATGTTAGATGTGGTGCGAGGTTCCACATGATCGATGTGGTGATAGGTTCCACATGTTCGATGTGGTGATATGTTCCACATGTTCGATGTGGTGTGAGTTCCACATGTTCGATGTGGTGTGAGCTTCCAAATGTTCGATGTGATATGAAGTTGCGAATGTTCGGTGTGGCGTGAGGCTCCATATGTTCGATGTGGTGTGAGCTTCCAAATGTTCGATGTGATATGAAGTTCCGAATGTTCGATATGGTGTGAGGTTCCACATGTTCGATGTGGTGTGAGTTCCACATGTTCGATGTGGTGATAGGTTCCACATGTTCGATGTGGTGTGAGGTTCAACATGTTCGATGTGATGATAGGTTCCACATGTTCGATGTGGTGTGAGATTCCAAATGTTCGATGTGGTGTGAGGTTCCACATGATCGATGTGGTGTGAGTTCCACATGTTCGATGTGGTGTGAGCTTCCAAATGTTCGATGTGAGAGTTCCCATGTTCGATGTGGTGTGAGGTTCCACATGATCGATGTGGTGTGAGTTCCACATGTTCGATGTGGTGTGAGCTTCCAAATGTTCGATGTGATATGAAGTTGCGAATGTTCGGTGTGGCGTGAGGCTCCACATGTTCGATGTGGTGTGAGCTTCCAAATGTTCGATGTGATATGAAGTTCCGAATGTTTGATGTGGTGTGAGTTACACATGTTCGATGTGGTGTGAGCTTCCAAATGTTCGATGTGGTGTGAGCTTCCAAATGTTCGTTGTGGTGTGAGTTCCACATGTTCGATGTGGTGTGAGCTTCCAAATGTTCGTTGTGGTGTGAGTTCCACATGTTCGATGTGGTTTGAGGTTCCAAATGTTCGATGTGATGAGTTCCAAATGTTCGATGTGATATGAAGTTCCGAATGTTTGATGTGGTGTGAGGTTCCACATGATCGGTGTGCTGTGAGTCCCACATGTTCGATGTGGTGTGAGTTCAAAATGTTCGGTGTGGTGTGAGGTTCCGAATGTTTGATGTGGTGTGAGGTTCCACATGATCGGTGTGGTACGAGTTCCACATGTTCGATGTGGTGTGAGTTCCACCTGTTCGATGTGGTATGAAGTTCCGAACGTTCGGTGTGGTGTGAGGCTCCACATGTTCGTTGTGGTGTGAGTTCCACATGTTCGATGTGATATGAAGTTCCGAATGTTTGATGTGGTGTGAGTTACACATGTTCGATGTGGTGTGAGGTTCGAAATGTTCGATGTGATATGAAGTTCCGAATGTTTGATGTGGTGTGAGGTTCCACATGATCGGTGTGGTACGAGTTCCACATGTTCGATGTGGTGTGAGGTTCCACATGTTCGATGTGGTATGAAGTTCCGAACGTTCGGTGTGGTGTGAGGCTCCACATGTTCGTTGTGGTGTGAGTTCCACATGTTCGATGTGATATGAAGTTCCGAATGTTTGATGTGGTGTGAGTTACACATGTTCGATGTGGTGTGAGCTTCCAAATGTTCGTTGTGGTGTGAGTTCCACATGTTCGATGTGGTGAGGTTCCAAATGTTCGATGTGATATGAAGTTCCGAATGTTTGATGTGGTGTGAGGTTCCACAATGTTCCACATGTTCGGTGTGGTGTGAGGTTCCACATGTTCGATGTGGTATGAAGTTCCGAATGTTCGGTGTTGTGTGAGGCTCCACATGTTCGTTGTGGTGTGAGGTTCCAAATGTTCGATGTGGTATGAAGTTCCGAATGTTTGATTTGGTGATAGGTTCCTAATGTTCGATGTGGTATGAAGTTCCGAATGTTCGGTGTGGCGTGAGGCTCCACATGGTCGGTGTGGTGTGAGGTTTCACATGTTCGATGTGGTATGAAGTTCCGAATGTTCGGTGTGGTGTGAGGCTCCACATGTTCGATGTGGTGTGTGGTGTGAGTTCCGAATGTTGTGAGTTCCACATGTGGGTGTGAGGTTCCACATGTTCGATGTGGTGTGAGGTTCCAAATGTTCGACGTGGTGTGAGGTTCCACATGTTCGATGTGGTGTGAGCTTCCAAATGTTCGATGTAATATGAAGTTCCGAATGTTTGATGTGGTGTGAGTTCCACATGTTCGATGTGGTGTGAGGTTCCAAATGTTCGATGTGATATGAAGTTCCGAATGTTTGATGTGGTGTGAGGTTCCACATTTTCGGTGTGGTGTGAGGTTCCAAATGTTCGATGTGGTGTGAGGTTCTACATGATCGATGTGGTATGAAGTTCCATATGATCGGTGTGGTGTGAGTTCCACATGTCCGATGTGGTTTGAGTTTCAAGTGTTCAGTGTGGTGTGAGGTTCCACATGTTCGATGTGGTATGAAGTTCCGAATGTTCGGTGTGGTGTGAGGCTCCACATGTTCGTTGTGGTGTGAGTTCCGCATGTTCGATGTGGTGTGAGTTCCACATGTTCGGTGTGGTGTGAGGTTCCACATGTTCGATGTGGTGTGAGGTTCCACATGTTCGATGTGATGATAGGTTCCACATGTTCGATGTGGTGTGAGGTTCCACATGTTCGATGTGATATGAAGTTCCGAATGTTCGATGTGATGATAGGTTCCACATGTTCGATGTGGTATGAGGTTCCAAATATTCGATTTAGTGTGAGGCTCCACATGTTCGATGTGGTGCGAGGTTCCACATGTTCGATGTGGTGTGGGGTTCCACATGTTCGATGTGGTGTGAGGTTCCAAATGTTCGATGTGGTGTGAGGTTCCACATGATCGGTGTGGTGTGAGTTCCACATGTTCGATGTGGTGTGAGTTCCACATGTTCGGTGTGGTGTGAGGTTCCACATGTTCGATGTGGTGTGAGGTTCCAAATGTTCGACGTGGTGTGAGGTTCCACATGTTCGATGTGGTGTGAGGTTCCACATGTTCGCTGTGGTGTGAGGTTCCATATGTTCGATGTGGTGTGAGGTTCCACATGTTCGATGTGGTGTGAGGTTCCACGTGATCGATGTGGTATGAGGTTCCACGTGTTCGATGTGGGTGAGGTTCCACATGGTCGGTGTGGTGTGAGGCTCCACATGTTCGATGTGGTGTGAGGTTCCACATGTTCGATGTGGTGTGAGGTTCCACATGTTCGATATGGTGTGAGGTTCCACATGTTCGATGTGGTGTGAGTTCCACATGTTCGATGTGGTGTGAGGTTCCACATGTTCGATGTGGTGTGAGGTTCCACATGTTCGCTGTGGTGTGAGGTTCCATATGTTCGATGTGGTGTGAGTTCCACATGTTCGATGTGGTATGAGGTTCCACATTTTCGATGTGGTGTGAGGTTCCACGTGATCGATGTGGTGTGAGGTTCCACGTTATCGATGTGATATGAGGTTCCACATGTTCGATGTGGTTTGGGGTTCCACATGTTCGATGTGGTGTGAGGTTCCAAATGTTCGATGTGGTGTGAGGTTCCACATGATCGATGTGGTGTGAGTTCCACATGTTCGATGTGGTGTGAGGTTCCAAATGTTCGATGTGGTGTGAGGTTCCACGTGATCGATGTGATATGAGGTTCCACATGTTCGATGTGGTGTGAGGTTCCACATGTTCGATGTGGTGTGAGGTTCCACGTGATCGATATGGTGTGAGGTTCCACGTGATCGATGTGGTATGAGGTTCCACATGTTCGATGTGGGTGAGGTTCCACATGGTCGGTGTGGTGTGAGGTTCCACATGTTCGATGTGGTAGGAGGTTCCACATGTTCGATGTGGTGTGAGGTTCCACATGTTCGGTATGGTGTGAGGTTCCACATGTTCCATGTGGTGTGAGGTTCCATTTGATCGATGTGGATGAGGTTCCACATGTTCGATGTGGTGTGAGGTTCCACGTGATCGATGTGGTGTGAGGTTCCACGTGATCGATGTGCTGTGAGGTTCCACATGTTCGATGTGTTGTGAGGTTCCACGTGATCGATGTGATGTGAGGTTCCACATGTTCGATGTGGTGTGAGGTTCCACATGTTCGATGTGGTGTGAGGCTCCACATGTTCGATGTGGGTGAGGTTCCACATGTTCGATGTGGTGTGAGGTTCCATATGATCGATGTGGTGTGAGGGGTCACGTGATCGATGTGATATAGTTCCACGTACTTTGTGTGGTGTGATGATGATACATTGTTTGAAGGTTCGAATGAAACTCATATCATTTTCTCTGTGAAAATGTATTCTGCAAAAAAGTCTGATCATGACATTTTACTCCTCATGTTTTAAAATTTGTCTGATAAAACTCACATTTTTTGAGAGAATCATTTTAATAAAACTTTGGAAATTTATTATAAAGAAATCGTCAAGCGGTTTCAAACGACAAACACAAGACTATATAATGATTAATTCTTTATATAGAACAATAAGTACGGTTTTTTATTGATTTTTTTGCTGATTTTGACAATAACTAATGATAGATAAGTTTCAAACTTTTGCCGGGAACATGTTCATTTCAGTCATTGCACATATGACATCATCCAAACTTGAAGGGCAATAAAACCACTATGCGAACAAAACCAAAACTATTTTTCAATAAATCAGAAAACAAATACAGATGTAAACAACGATGAATAGCACAATACAAATAGCAACTGTCTGTCGTGTTGTCAAATCTAAGTCGATCACGGCTTAGGTATTGTTTTCTAGTTCAACTTCGATACAGTACGCTGGATCATGACTGATACCTCGTGCTCCTCCATTTTCGTCGCCTTTAGCATCGATGTCCGCCTCTACGGCATTTCCATTCCCCTTACAATTTTTCTTCTCGGTGTATTTGGTCGACTTGACTTGATGTTTGTTCTCACTGCTGTGTTTGAGTGATCTGCAACGAATTTTGCATTGATCAATTTTTAAGACTTCATACAGTCCATCTCGGAACTGGGTCGACGTCATGATATAGAGGAAAAAATTGATGGAGTAATTCAGTTGTTCCAACAATTGCGATACTTCCTTGAAGACAAGGAAACCCTTTGCGTTATCCCCAAACGCATTGATTTTGAAAAAGAATGCCATTAAATGTAACATCGTAACAGGCAAAACGAGAACAATGTAGGCGGCGACGATCCCCAATAACATGGCCGTTGTTTTTACGCCTTCAGTATCTGATTTCCTGGCTTGTGACGTCAGCTGTTTCCGTTTGTGTCGGTACGCTGTTAGTTTGTACAGAATTAAGGTTGTGAGGACGGCCATGATGGACATGGGAGCGATGGAGTAGAGAGCACATCCCATGTAGATCATATTGGCATATTTAGCAGATTGAAATGGATCACTTCGGTCGTAAGCATCTGGATAGCACATCCCATCGACAATACGAGAGCTGAATGACCACACGCTATTAAATGTTATCATTACCATATAAACGACAGCGAGTGCAAGGATGGTTCGTATTTTTGTAGTTATGCTTTTCGCCTTCAAAGGGAACCATACCGCTACGAAACGCTCGACGCAGAGAAATACAACCATCCATGATGATGTCATCTTCCCGGTCCGAAAGAAGACAAAGAAAATCTTACATCCCATATCGGAGAGCGCCCGGAGGGCTGTTCCCATGAGCTTGATGACGAATTTCTTGTTGAAAGGCTGGGTCAGGAGAAGGAGAGTGTCCGAAGAAGCAAGGCAAATAAGAAGAAGACGAGAATTGAGTTTGGAGAATGACTTCCTGTTCATGATGATGACGGTCAAGGTATTTCCTATAAGGCCAAGTAACAGGAAAGTTGGAAAATAGAAGTAATCAAAGTAGTCTAAGCTGTTCAGCACATTCTGCAGATAATCTACTTCTGGAACGTCAGACGTTTCATCCAAGGAACTTCTATTGCCATCGTTGACGGCATTAATTCCGGTGACGCCATTTCCGGTGATGTTTAACATCGACTCATTTTTTAAAAGGTCGACAGACATACCGATTTTCTGCTAGATCTGAAATAAACAGGAAGGTTTATTTTTCATGTATAACGTGTACTTGATACTGATGGCATAATGGACTGCTTATGTTTAAACTCAATCAAATTAGTGATACTGTCTCAGGCTAATGATGCGTATCAGAGTAAGTTGTACGCGTAAAGTTTGTACAGAATTAAGGTTGTGAGGACGGCCATGATGGACATGGGAGCGATGGAGTAGAGAGCACATCCCATGTAGATCATATTGGCATATTTAGCAGATTGAAATGGATACTGAACAAGATTTGTGGCACTGAACCAGACTGGAGAGTAGGAATTAGGTTAGGTATAATGAACAAGATTAGTGATGCTTAATAAGGTTAGTAAGTCTGAACAAGGTTAGTAATACTAAAAATGTTTAGTATGACTGATAACAATAATAATAGTGAACAAGGTTAGTAAGACTGAGCAAGGTTAGTAATATTGAACAAGGTTAGTAAGACTGAACAATGTTAGAGAAAATGGAAAAGGTGAGAAAGACTGAACAATGCTAATACATGTAATAATGAACAAAGTTATTGATACTGAAGAATTTCAGTGACTCTGAAACAATTAGATGAGAACGAAAAAAAACTGCTACGATTTTCGGAGAAAGTTGAAACCCCAAAGTACTTCTGGGATTATCAGTGATGTTGAGTGTCTTTGGGAACTAAACGATTGTAACGGGAAACTTAGAAATCTTTTAGTTAGCACGTCACTTCATTTTAGAGGAAATGAAAAATACAAAGGCGTGTACTAAATTGCGATTTTATGACAAGGAAAGTGTATGGTTAGCGTTGCGTTTCCGCGATATCCAGAAAGTAATTTATGACAGTTAAGGACAAACCACTATTTTTCAAGCCCAATTATTCGACACTTGATGAGTTTTTGTTTAAAAAAAATGTTTAAAAGTCAAATTCCATTACCTCGGATCCAAAATTAATGAGGTGCCATATTTCTGTTTTTTTTTCTGCTGTTACCATATTTACTTCATCACGTTCCATTCCAATTATATACTCAAAATGAATTTAACCCTTGAACGAAAATACTGTCCAATCAAAGAATGGTCGTCTTTCTGAATAATTTAATAGTCATGACCCAGCCATGTCATTTCACCACATTCTAGAGTAGTACACGACGAAAAAAAAACAAAACAAAACAAAAAACAAAGAAAGAAAAAAAAACCCAAATAAACCAAGAAAGCAAACAAACAAACTCGACATACTTACCACGGGATATCTTTAAGCTACTGGAGAAGATCCGCTATCTTCTTTACATGAGCCTGTGTGTACGCAATATCGTGATGACAGTGAAATATATGGTATGGATATGAGGTGTGCATAGTGTACCAGTACCCAATCACAGCCAAGATAGACTTTGGTCCGTACCAAGTCGATGCCGGTAATTATTACCTAATGAAAATTGTTAATTGAAAGGGAAAATGACCACGGTATTCACATGTCTATTATCAAAATAACAGACTCGGAACCCCCAATCACAGCCTTACCAAAATCCTGATTTTCATTTCCAGCTTCAACCTGCGTCGTAAGTATATGATGTATTCACGTGAAAAGTGCATCGCTTTCAAAGGAATAGGTTTAGGGATGGGGTGAGAAATGTTTCAGAACTACTATCTAGATGTGTCATAAAACAGTTACATTGGAATGGAGTTTAATTTGTCCGGTAGAACTTACATTTTATAGTGCGACTTGTTTTGATGGATATACTTATTTTGATTATGTTTCCAAAACATATCTTAAAAGTCCAATATTTCTCTTGTGTGAACATTAAAGATAATTCCATGTCACTTCACTATCATACGTTATCAGTCATAGCCATTATCATGAAACATACCTCATGCAGGCTCTTCCTGCCTAGGCCATTGTTACCAACACAGGTCAAATGCCCCCTGTCCATTCTAACGAAAGTCTATTCGTCACCGTGAATAAAAGTAAAACCACACATTATTACGGGAAAAAAGCGTAATAACGCGAAAAAACAGTAAACACGTGAAAAACAAATAAAAACGTGGAAAAATACCTAATAGCCGAAAGACAGGTTAGCTTATGCCATGGCGCAGCGTCCGTCTTTCGTCCGGTGTTCGTCAACTGTTTACAAACCGCCACTAGTGATGCCGACGGAATGGATTTTGACTAAAATGCGCCAGAAGCATTCTGGAGGGAAGAGGAAGTTTGCATAAATATTGTTTCCCGGCCCCAAGGGGCTAAAAAGCTGGGCCAAAATGGGGAAATTAAGACAGTTCTTTAAAATTCTTATTCTTGTGTAGGGAAATAGGTGTAAATACGTTGTTACTTTATATGAAAAAGATTGCAATGTAGTTTTACAGTCCGTAGTGTCAGACTTCTAGTTTTTACTTCGCCATGTTACGAAAATTACAACGATAACATTTTTTGTTGGAAAAACAACAACTGACGACAATTAATCTATAGTTGATCTTACAGAAGTCACTTTGTTGAAATGAATACATAACGAGGGAGACTCCAAATCACAAATCGAAGACCTGACACGTATTTCCGTCATGGTACTGGACTGTTTGTTAGGGCAACAATCCCATACACAGAGTTTTACAAATTTTGAATTCTCACATGTCATTTTTATTGCTTTATTTAGAACAGGCTGCATTTTTTTTACGAAATATTCCGAAATATCAATTACCTGAATGTTGGTTATGGAGAATCTTGGAAGGGGAGACATGTTTCATATTTTCAGAGATTTCTCCTTGTTACGATGCTGTCATTTTTATAAAATAAACCACAAAGGTCACTGTTTTACTATTCACGACAGTCATGTCACACTCGATCCTCGTTAGCTGATAACGATCGTCATACTATTGTCTACAGGTGTGACCACAAACCCGGCAAAACGCGATATCGTGAGTACTTTCTACATTACAGGATTCACACCGTTAATTAATTACACAACTCCAACATTTATATCTACAGACGCCGGAATACAATATCCATTGTTATACTATATACTTATTATCACATTGTTGGTATTGTTATAGGACTGATATAGGAAGGTCTATGATTGTTTATTCACAGTATAATTATTCTTCTGGGCTAATGGAGTGTCTTTCGACGATATTGTGATTGATACCATGCAAAACTGACATGCCGTTATTCATTAATATTACATTCCTAGTTCTACCTACTAGTAGTTATAATGACAAGTTCGATCAAATTATCCTGGCTCACTGTGGCTAGTGTATGTCTGCAAACTCATAGCAATATTCAGGGTCAGGGCTGGTAAACCAATTATTGAAACCCGATTGTTTTTTCCTAGCAAACCATTCATAGCAGCACTCAGCTTAACATCCTCTTCGAATTTGCGGATGGTTTGTTTCTTGTTAAGTCTGGAAATGAGTCACTTGGGGCTAGGTCTGGAGAATAGGGTGGGAAAGGTAATCATACTCGCGCAACATTGTCCATCGCATTTTTACTTCGGCTAGTGAGGACTGGCGCATGGTCCTGGTGAAGCAGAATCTTTACCAGACAATTTACACCACCTGCTTCAGTAGCTTGCGAACCAGATGACCTTTAAATTCTTTGCCTTTGTCATTCCATCGATACTCTTTACTCTTTATATCGTAATGATAAACCCAGGTTTTATCACTGGTTACAACCTTAAAATGAGAATTATTTGGCGTTGTACCGAGGTAACCAGTCTCCACTGATGATGACTTTGGCTTTGTACCAACTTAGCAAGCCTCCGCTTATAATGACCTTTAGTTTTTTTACAATGTTATTAATGTTCCGCTGATGATGGCCCTTTGGAGTTGTACAGAATCAACGAGGCTCCATTGATTAAGGCTCGTCGCACCGAGTTAGCAAGGCTTTTCTCATATTGACTCTTTGACGTTGAACCGAGTCAGCAAGGTTCCACTGATGATGACCCAAGATTGCTTCATGCCATCCGCATATGTATATGCCTTTTACGGATCCATATGAAAAGTCGGTTGATTTCTGCTAACTCTAAAAGAGTAATAGGGTGGTTGTCCATCATTATTTCGTGTTCAGTGTAAATGTTTTCTGGGCTAGTTCTTGTTGTCGACCGATTGGTTTTCTTCTATGCCCTTTCTTTCACGAATGGATTCTTCACCCAGCGTTTGATGATTACAGGAGAAAGGAGAAGACTGCTAATAACGGCCCAAATATATACTGAAGAAAAGTTTGTACAGCCTTTCAAAAATCAGGAAAAGTGGAGAATAAAATTAGACCTAAGTGAAAACTTTGACACTTATGCATGTGTTTTTCAATATACTCAAGAAACCAAACTACAGGCTTTTCAATAAAAAATCCATCACAGAATTTTACAAACTAATTTTTTTCTGTTTAAAATCGGCAAAGGAACAAGATAATTCATGCTCATTTTGTAATGGGGAAGAAGAAACAATGGAACACATCATGTACAATTGTTTTATACAAATGAATTGTTACAAGAATTCACTATATGGTATACTGAAAATGACAATGTTCAAAATCATTTTATTCTGAGTACCACTGTACAATATTTGGTAATGCAAATGCAGTGGAAGACTAAACCCTTTCTTGTTAATGTTTAGATATCATATTTTTACCTGTAAATATAAAAACAGATTACCAATATTTCAATCATGTAAATCGTATTTCACTCAAGTTCTGAAAATAGAAAAATATATTGCTAAAAAGGATAATTTAGAAAAAAAAATCAAGAAAAGTGGGGAATATTTAATGGAATCTTAAACAGTTAGGAAACCGAAATGCAATGTAACTATAAGAGTACTTCCCCTTTATGTTAATTTTCAGCATTGTGTACCTGTAATACCTCTAAACAGTGGGACATTTGGCATTTGTTCTTAATAATATATTCAATTTCTCCATATAGCATAATAATTTCTATAAGTTTGATATCAACAGGTTAAACAATGTGACCAAAATAATAATAATTTTTTTATAGTCATCAGTGTGTGCTGATGCC